GGGGGGAATGTACTGAAATAGGAATTGAGTTAGTTTCATCACTGAAATTTTCCCTTGAAGCCGGGATCACCTATCAATTTTAATAAATTCTAAATAAAGGAATCGATGGAAAATGTTAACAAAATTTTCACCAAGTACCAATTAAAGAATCAATAAAAAACTCCATTTTAACTTCTTAAATACAAACTCATAAATACGTACTTTGCAATGATTCATTCTCTTTTGAAAAATCACTTTTTGTTTTTGAGATACAATTTTTAAGATTATCAGCAACCACAAACTCCAAACGATTTGAACCACAACGTTTACGATATTATTTATTATTAAACAGAAACGAGATACGTTTTCGATCACATTGGATTGGAGAGTCAGTGAAGTTCTTCAGCTCTTTGTATGAAGCGAATTGAGAAAGATCAATACGCTTTATCTCTCAAGCCAATAAAAATCATAATACGTTATTGAAGTTTTTTTAATCGAAAACGCTTTCAAAAAAGAGAATTCAATCAGTTTACTTAATTTTTTGTTTTTAGAGACATGATTGACGAATCCTTTAAAATTAAAATATTCCGTCTGTCGTCGACACTTTAATAGTTACCCGACAGTTTTAATTCAATTTTAATACTCTGCCCCGAATTTCAAAGTTCCGGGAAAACGGGAGTCCGAACATTTCCCAATCTGCCTCTTCCCTCAGGTTTCGTATTTAATTTTCTGCCACTCGGATATTTGTTTTGCCGGTTCCTTCCGGATTCATTAACTGGGTCGGGGACGAGGCCGTTCCGCCAGCTATTTTTTAACACAATTTCTGTGCCTCCCCTAGTCCCACAGGAATATCAACTAATGGCTTCAATTGCCTTTTTACCGCCACTCTAGTAACTCTCTTTCAACCGATAATAACAGCAAAAAAATTTTCGACACAAAAATTATCTCCTTTCATAACTTGAACAAGTAGCTACAAATTTTGTACAAATTTTCGAGCAGTGTTTTTGTATTGAAATATAAAGCTACTAAAGCCAAGCGCAGTTATGAAAAATCCACTATAAATCTTCCGGATGCAATTCGTCCTGCGGGAGCAACTTTCATCCGGGCAGCTTAATTCGTCCCTCGATAAATCTTGATTAGCGCGGTTCTCTGCGAAACACGGGTCCCGAAGCCGCGAGACGGCCCTGCTAATTTCATTATTTCGAAACGAATTTAATTACCCGAGGGGGCGGCGCAAACTTCGCGCCCATAACGACGCAATCATTTACAATTAGGTGGTTTTCGCGCCCCGTTGGTGTCCTTCGAGTCTTATATTTATTTTATTAAATTCTTTTGCGACTCGAGAAACAGAAAAAGAGAAAGGGTCCTAAAATTTGTCAGGTATACATTTTTTTTAATCGATAAACATAAAGCAAACGTAAAGTAATTGGACGTCACCGGGGCCACCCATTCTGGCGAATCGAAAGCGCCGATCTGGAATTAAAATGAAATTTTTAATTGGTATCGTTCGAAGAAGCCGATTTCCAATTTTCCAATCTTTCGATATCCAGAGCATTGTTTAATCCAAGTCTTTGGTTAATTAAACTTTCGGTTAATTACTTTGATGCTACAACAACAATATTCATCATTCGGTGAAGAAAAAAATTTCTTTTTCAATTTATGTTATGTACTTTCAACGTCTATTTCTCACTCTATCTCATTTCCTTAATTGGGTAATTACAACAGGAAATGTACCAATAAAAATAACGCGTTCGATGCGGGTTCTGCCTCGGTATACAATTAAAAACGAAACTAAAATGAACCACTTCTGCGTTACGCGTTATTTTCTTTAACAATCACGTCCAAGTCCCGGCGGCTCGCGCGAAATAATACAAAGCAAAAGGGAATATGAGCTTTCAAGTTTTATCCTCGGCGATAAACAGCGGGGAAATGTAAATGAGTCGTCCGTTGTTCGTTGCCGGTTTTAAAGTGCAGTTTAGCTCCTGGACTAATTAAGGCGACCGTAAAAGAGATAATAACTGGCTCGACGTAAACCTGCATTACTGCCAATACCGCGAGTGAATTATCGCAGGAACTCATCCGGTCCTTTTATTCCCGTTGACTGCAACGCTTTGGCCATCTTCCAATGTTGAACGTCCCGAACCCGCCCCGGTTTTGCAATAAAGTTGGGTTGTGGAAATGAAACGTTATGTTCACTTCGCCGTTGGGCTTACAATCGCTCACTGGACTCTAAGCGAAAAGATAATCCCTTAATGTTCTCATTTTTAAGTTCAACTATTTATTATCGTTGATTGTCCACGATATTAAATTAATGTCGTCATTAACGTCTCACTTTTCGCTTGATTTCCCACATGGTTAAAGGAGATAGAAGGGCGTTTTCCCTTGAGGGTTACCTTCTTGGTTCGAGGTTCGTGGATATTGATTGTGTGTTGGGGGCGTTGTTCGTTATAAGTAATAATTGTTGAAATTCCCCACTTAATGAGATCACAAAACATCTGCTTCCGGCGTTCGGGCTAAAACTATTCTCTAAAGCGGAGAGAGTTTCCGAAACAGAACGAAATCCTTTAATTGGAAGGGAACGCCGCGGTTCGTGCGAATCTGGTCGTGACGACAGCGAATTAATTGTCGCCAGCACTAATCTGTATTCCCCCCTGAATGTATATAAACTTGATGGGAGCAATGGAAAGAACGATTTTTTTAACGATTTCTTTCGTCTCCGAATTTAGCTTTATTTCCGGTTCTGGGTGGTCCGGAAAATATAAATTCGGACAGACAACGTCCTGGGAAATTAAATATCGATTAGTTGAAACCAACCCGATGGAATAAAATTGTATGCTCAGGGATTTCAGTTATGATATTACCCCATGTCCGCACTTCTTAAAGTTTATTAAAGACCTTGATTTATGTAATGCAAAGGACGAAAGGGGTACGCCAAACGCGTGAGACTCGACCACGGGCTCCGAAATCCGTTATCCAGCGGTAGATTTATTTCCTCTCCGGCGATGTCGTCGCGACGATGTGGACTTTGCGCGATGCAAAAGCTTCTGATTTATGCCGACTTATTTTCCTCATGGGAGGGCGAGATGAAATTGGGAAGTTTTGCTCTTCTTTGCGGCTTTGTATCGGTCCGGAACTTGTGTAATATTCAACTCGAATTATACCGGTTATGATAAATCATTGTTAATCCTTATGAAAACTAAACACAATACCAACGACCGTTTCATACCATTTTACACATGCTTTGTGTAGAGATAAATAAGAACACTCAACATTTTCATAAATGGAAAGTAAACGGTGAAAATGTATCACTCTATTTTCATTATGTTAAATTGTATCGATTCAACTGAAATCTTTAACTGTAAATCTGTTTAATTAGTTTATTTTAATTGTTTGTTTGCGATGACCCCTCGAAAGCTCTTAGCAGCTTTTAGAACAATTTATGCGAACAGTTAGAAATTAGAGTGGCCACAATGGACACAAACATTAAAACAAAAATACGATCGATGTAACGGCATCCGCTGTCGACTGCTTGGCTTTTAAAAGCACGCTTGGGATTTAAGGGTGATTTTACTGCTGGTCTTCGGAGAGTAAGTAAATCAGGTCGAATGGTCTCGCGCGAAATGAACCACTATGTTTTACAAGAAACGTTTAGAATTAGTTGGTTCGTTTTAATATTTAAAGAAAGAAACGCGCATCACATCTTAATAATGTTTACGTTTCGAATCGTTCTTATTCTCGTTCTCATTCTCGTTTACTGGAAAGGTAAAACGAAATTTAACGCGACACCGCACTGAATGCGAATAACCTTAAATAGGGATGAAATTAGAGTTACCTTCTGCTTTTTAGATTGTGGTTGTAAGATCTTTTCCAGAGGCATGAAATTGGTCCATTTTTCATCGCGTATACGAGAGGTAACGACAACGTACGGAGTTTAATTAAAAACCCCCGGCGCAATCGTAAATCGCGAAATAACGATAACGACAAATAAGCGGTTCGCCAGCCAACCATTTTTCTCGTCCAACGATTACAAACCGATGCATAAATAACTAATTAATCCGGCAGGATCGCGGATAAGTTACTGTAAATCGACGGACATCGTAATATCTTATCTTTTTTTGTCGTCCGTCCATCAATTAAAAATTAATTAACTGTATACTGCCGAAATTGACCAGAAATATTTTTTATAGAGATTTTTAACTTTAATTTGGCGCATTAATCGTGTCTTAAATCGTACAAATAAATTTAATTTTTTTTCGTGAACTTATCGAACAAAGTAGACCATTAGTGATCTTCACGTCATCGTCAAGACATTATCGTGTCATCAAAACCCGCCGTGAATTTTGCTGACTTGGCACTCGACATGACAATCTCCTTTAATTATATCCACACAGAGGGAACCACTCGAGAAGTGGTTTCGAAATTGACCCTCGGTTAACGTAAAAGACACCGAAACATTTACAGTCCTTGTACTCAAATTACACTTAACCGCATTCGGCAACATCGCATTCTGCACTCAATTTGCATTAACTAGTAACGAGCCGCGGGAGGGCGTTAATTGACGCAAGTTTGGACAAGTCTAAGTAATACGAAACAACCACTGCGTTGGATTCGAATTATCATGATGTTGTCATTTAAGAGTATATGCGACGATTTCTTTGTACTTCTTAGAGAACCTATAGTAACTTTTCGACCTTTCGGGATACACATGGCAAGAATAAATTGGGACAATCCCAGGATAAAACCGCGATAACTTCCAGGGACGGCTCCGACTTGTTACCGCTATCGGAAAGTTTTGTTTCGACTTGACTTGAAAATAGTAAAAGGAAAAAAAAAGGTAGAGGATGTTCCCGTGGGATAGAGTTTTACACCGTAAAGAGAATTCTTTGCTGGAAAACTTCGTTTTTTTTTTATTATTCAAAAGCTAAACAGAAGCGAGCACCAATTACTTTACGTAGTGATTTAATCACTAAAAATTAAAATATGGTTTAAAACGAAATAATTAAAATTTAATTTCTTTTTAGGTACCATAAAGACGGCTACTGTGTTGGATGTTGAAACGAAATCTCATTATTGGATAACAGTTTTTGCTCAAGATCACGGTGTGGTTCCTTTGTTTAGCAGCGTTGAGGTAAGTGGTAAAATATAAACGATTTTAAAATATCAATAAATATAATGAGCTGCACATAGTATAAATTTAGCTTGTGGATTAATTTTTTTTATTCGAGCTTGGACATCTGTATAAATTCCCTGGCATTACCATATGACATTTGGATATAAGTATATCTAACTCTGAAAGTGTGTCAATTCTTCTGCTTTGTGACCTGTATTTGGCAGGAAAAATAAAAATCGTCCCATAGGATTACCATTCTCTTGCACGTACCTTATTACATCAATTTAATCAACAATTATTGAAAAATATTTTGATGCTTTAACTTCATCGACTATAATTCTTCTAGTTTCTTTAGGGAGTAATGCCACAAATTCCTCATAAATTGTTAAGTTCATGTAGATTGTTCGACCAGAGACAGGATTCTTATATGTTCAAATATGCTCTCTATCAAACTCTGCCAGCAATTCCATTGCCATTAAAAAATTTCTAAGTCTATTATCTCGTCACCAACTTAATTACTAATGAATACAAAATGTTTTTCAACTAGGAATTCATCCCAAGCTAAAATTACTAAATTGGTTTACAAAATCTTCTCCATATATTAGAACATGTGTATTCCGGAAAGAGATCGCATGATTTAAGATGACCGTTGGTCGGATGACCGGATTCGTTCTTCGTCTCGGTCCGAGCATTGTTTCGAGTGTAATGTGTTATCGTAACACGTCGGATGCCGCCCTAATAAATGACGCCGAGGCCGCGGAGTTGATACGTACGGACAATGAACAATCGTCGCCTCCGAGGCCGCCATTTTCGGGAGTAATCGTTCGAAATTGAACGGTGCTGATATATGAAATGCCCCATAAATCGCACGATCCTGCCTCCCAGCAGCAAAACGCCTTCCTTCAAAACGAACAATTTATGCGCGAACCCCCAATTTATTCACGGTATATTGAAACTCTCGATTTAAAGTTTCGTGGAGCTCTCTATTTTCCAACAGAATAAATATTTAAAGCAGCCAACTTTGTTAACGAATAAATTAGGTTTTTTCTTGAAAATAACTAAGAAACCAACAATAATCATTGCTTTGTTGTATATTTATTCAGCATGGGGCCAACAATTTTATTAAAAATTTCAATGCAGCGAGACCGTTTGAAGTCGGAGAAGTTGAAATTAATTCCAACTTTACCCGCGAGACGTCTGTATAGCTGCGATTGCTTCCGTTTATGAAAAACATCCGCGGGTTGTAACCAAAAAGTGCTCGAAATAAAACGCGGATGGTGGAAATTGCACTCGCGACCGAGGAAATGTTTTCAATTACACACCGCAAATGCTTATTTCCGGTTTCTCACGGATGTTGGTTTATTTACCTATTTCATCATAAAAAATTCAATACTCTTTTTTTCTCACGGAGTAATCGTTTTAAAGCATCCTGAATTATTTAAATTTTTAACTATCGCAAGTTCTTCAATTAACACGAACCCACCCTTCGCGCTGTCATCCTCGTTACGTTGCCTCTTTGTGCCCTGCGGGAAAAGTTTTATCGAAACCTGATTAAAAATTAATCGGGTTCTCTAAGAGGTGCCCTAAAAAAAGCGAGAGCTGCTGGCGACAAAGTCTGAGAAAAAATGGCGAAAACGACTCCAGACTCTTACTTGTCCTTATAATCCGTTACGTTTAATAACTCTCTCTCATTTTATCCCTTTCCAAAAAAAAAGCCGACGACGCGACGACGACGAAAAATCGGTTCTTAATTATATCGAAAAGTTACCAAAGGATCCGCGCCTGAATGGCTTCGAGAATTGATTAAAACTTTTCAACGAAATAATGCGAAACCCTCTCCCAATAGATGATTACATGTTTTCGGCGATCGAACTTTATTGCGTTCAATGTCCCGATTTGACCAGAAACCGTAAAGATACGTCTTCTGCTGTTTATGATTTTGGATCATCCCAACTTTTATTACCAATAAAATGCACTCATCTCGATATGAAGCTAACCAATGTATTTGACACATCGAAGAAATACTATTTAAGTAAATACTCTTTAATTCATCAACGACGCTCGAACCTACATAAGTTATTTGTGCAAAACGATAACATTTTTTTTGAAGTAGTTTCTGAATATTTTGATAATACTTTATGTCTTCAGCTTTCAGTTTCTGCCTCTCTTAATTTTATGTTTGCTTGATACCATAACATTGTATTATTTTTGGCCTTCCATGAATAAAAACAAATTTACAAATTGTAAACAAATTGTGAGATTAATTTAGGGTTTAAGATTTGGTCGTAAAAATTTTAAAATGTTATAAAAACGGTTTTAAAGAATATTATTAGCAATAAACTCTTTATAAGTGTCGTCAAGTTTGTTCTTCGAAGGAAACTAAAATTCAGTTGAATGCAATTTCAGTTTGCGGAGCGCGAAACTAGTTTGTAACTAAGCGGTCGATTAGGAGGAAGTCGTAAGTACCGATCACGAGAAGTAGATAGATATCCCAAACTGAAAAACTTTTTACTGTGTACTATACCGGAAAGTTTATAATGCGCGTAATAAACCAGACGCGGCCGGGCGGAGCCGCGCCGCATAAATCCGCGTAATCCCTCCAATATACCGGGCGTTCGAGAAACTCGGTCTCAGTTACTTTTAATTACATAAGTTGGCAGTGAATTAAGTGCCTTTCGAAGCCGGTTTAATTGGCTAATCGCGCACCTTTTTTCGACCCCGGCAGGTAATCCGAAAGGAAACAAGCGTACCGGCAAATTCGTTTTCGAAACAATGCCCGTAGAACCGCTTCCGCCAGTTGCCGCTCGACAGTCTGTAATTAAACTACCCTTTTTGCCGTCACGGAACCTTTGCACCCGCAATTATCCCAAATTTAATTACCTTTTCCCTATACTTTTTGTGCCTTCATGGTGTTGTATTGGCTTCTTTTCGAAAACGGCCATTGAAATCGGCCAGCTTTTGTGCTTCGCCACCTCTCTTATTTTTATGTTCATTAATTGAACATTCGGATAACGTATTACGGATTTTCGGTTATAAATATATCAGTAGGTGTTGCGTGACCACCTCACGTGAAAAGGTTTCGTGCTTTATTGACCCTAACCGAAGAGAATTGGCCGAACTAAGTACTTTTTTGGCGGAGGCGCCGGTTTTATATTGATTTCCTATACAAATAATTATACGTCTTTACACTATTCCCAACCTAAAGTTCCTATATAATCTTGAAAGTCATATCTGGGTCAGCTACTAGTAAAACGTTTCCTGGAATCGTGGATAATTCCCTATTCCATCGCCATATACGTCGAGTGCATTTTGTATGAAACAGGAAACGTAACAAAACAGGAAATTGATAATTTCATTCCTCGCTCGCGGGCAACACGGGATAAAGACCGTTGGGTTATGAAAGAAAAATCGCCCGCAGCTAAACGTAGAATGTTCTGGTAATTTAATATTTTATGCTTGTGTATGTACAAACCGCACCATTGGGGCTCGAAGGGTTATGTTAAAAGTGGAATAAATTATGTATCTGAATAGAAAGAGTCTATAAAAATCGGGTTTGAACGGAGCTATTCTTAAAAAGCATTTTGATTTGACAGGATTTTTTGCTATATATTTCTACTAACTTTCCTTAATGTTCTATTTATTTTGATGTTGATATGATTCTCCATGTCAATCTTATGTCTAACGAATTGCTTTCTTTTGTGACCTTTATGAACCACTCATAATTTTGTATTCATCGAAATCTGCATTAACTTGATTGTCCACAATCAATCTTCGTTATTGCTATACATTACTATTGCCTATCTTTTTGCTTTTCATTTTGCTTGTATTACAATTGATGTGGCAGATACTTCTTGTCAAATTTCCATACTTAAATTGACTGGCAGGAAATTATCCAAGATTATAATTAATATACAGCCTGATTCAGAGTAAGCGCCTTATTTTTTTTTAGCCACACTATGGGTACTACTTTCAAAATATTTGGCAGTAATATGTTTTAGGACACTCTCTACACGATGGTGATATCATATTTTCAATTGGACGAATTATTTCAAAATGGCGACTGTCAACTTTTTTTTTTTAAATGGAATGCCAAAATTTTTTTTTTATTATTGAGATCTTAAAAGCATTCTTTTTACGACAGTATTTTGTTTTTCTTAAAAATTCATTTCTTTCCCCATCCAAAAGGAACCTAATATTTTAATCTATACTCTGTTTTTAAACCAGGAGGAGTATTTTAAATTTGTCACCAGATTGACCTTGCACGTGATTGGTTGAATGCGAGGAAGGTTCACACACAGGCAATTTTGAATTTTGATTTTGAATTTGAAGGTTAGGTAATTGATAATTCGACAGTTTCGTGTCATTATTGTATATTTTGTGTTCTTAAACCCTTTTTTATTATATTTTGAAATAAATACACTCATAACTTCAATGTTAATTTGTATGTATAGTGTTGACGATAACAAACGAAAATAAATACAATAATAAGTAAATAAATAAATAATAATTATTAATTTAAATTTACCGCCAAAATATCTAGTGATATTTTCTGGTGATTTTTTCCAGTGTAAATCTGACTTTCGCGTTTACTCCTCCTGGTTTAAAAACAGAGTATAGTTCTAGTGCAAGTGTTAGTTCTAGTTTTAATTGTTATTCAGCGCTAAGTTGTATATTTTTAAGTTTCGGGTTTAGCCCTGTGTCTTCAGACGCTGAATGTTAGGTAAGGTTAGTTTTGTTTACAAACATTAATTATACCATGAAGTATTCTTTGGCAATTAGTAATGGCAATTATAGCGTGAAGTTTTCTTTTGTAATGTCAATTATAGCGTGAAGGAATGTTAGGTAAGGTTAGTTTTGTTTACAAACATTAATTATACCTTGAAGTTTTCTTTGGCAATTATACTCTGTTTTTAAACCAGGAGGAGTATTTTAAATTTGTCACCAGTGACCTTGCACGTGATTGGTATTTTCACACACAGGCAATTTTGATTTTGAATTTGAAGGTTAGGTTATTGACAATTCGACAGTTTCGTGTCGAATATAATAAAAAAGGGTTTAAGAACAAGGACAGTAGAATCTAACAGGACTGCTACATCCATTGTTGTGACAACCTGCCCGCAAACTACGTCACACCATTTTCCACGCCCAGCTGTTGTTATGGTCTATGCGTTTGCTGTGTATTTTTAAAGGTTATATCCTAGACATATTCATATTATTTTTGAAGTTTTATGTTTTTAGACGTATTAATGTCTATCATATAACCTCTAAAAACACAGACAGTTACCAGGCGTGGCAAATAGTGTGACGTAGAGTGCGGGCAACCAACCCGTAGTGGACTACAAAAGTACAACGGATGTAGCAGTCCTGTTAGATTCTACTGTCCTTGGTTTAAGAACACAAAATATACAATAATGACACGAAACTGTCGAATTATCAATTACCTAACCTTCAAATTCAAAATCAAAATTGCCTGTGTGTGAACCTTCCTCGCATTCAACCAATCACGTGCAAGGTCAATCTGGTGACAAATTTAAAATACTCCTCCTGGTTTAAAAACAGAGTATAGTAGCGCATGAATGTTTTACACTCGATGTTATTTTTGTCAAAATAAATAAATAAGTAGATGTTTATTACAAAATAAAGTTTAATTGTTTCTTTTGTGTCTAGCGCTACTTGATATTTGGACAAAAATAACATCGAGTGTAAAACATTCATGCGCTACTAGATTAAAATGTGTGCTTTTTGATGGGGAAAAAAATGAATTTTTAAGAAAAACAAAATACTATCGTATAAAGAATGTTTTTAGGACCTCAATAATAAAAAAAAATTTTGGCATTCCATTTAAAAAAAAAAGTTGACAGTCGCCATTTTGAAATAATTCTTCCAATTGAAAATGTGGCATCACCATCGTGTAGATGGTGATGCCACAAATATTATGAAAGTAGTACCCATAGTGTGGCTAAAAAAAAAATAAGGCGCTTACTCTGAATCAGGCTGTATAGGCGCAGTTAACACAGCTAATCAACTTCAACAAGCTTACTACGTAGATAGATGATCGAAGAAATGCAGTATATGATCAAGTTTTAAACAAAGTATATACAATTATAGTTTTCTAAATGATGTAAGCTTGTTGGTGTATGTCAAAATGGTTCTAATCGATGAAATACTTGATTGCTAAAGGTAGATATTTCCCAACAACATTTGATCACTGTCATTCCACTAAAATCTATAACTAAGACACTTAGAACATTTTTTTAATGTTATATATAAAAACAATTCCTCATCATTATAAAGATAGCACGGAAATCAATTTAACTTTTTTACTTGTCGTTTCAATTTAATATTCAAATGGAATATAACTTTTTCAGTATCATAAATAACACATAAATCAGCATACATAAATAAATATCGAATTTTTATTCCATTGCCTCTCATAAATATTCATTTAAATTTTTATATGAAGCGAAAAATATATCCTAAGGTTTAATAAAAAATACGTAAAATATATAAAAAAATGGAAAATTTATAAGGTGTCTAAGCGACGTGACTATCAGCAAATGTTTGAATACGTAACGTACGGAAATCACAGGATTAGCTTCGTGGGATATGAATTTCATGCGAATGGCGTTTCCCCTTATGTTACATCGAGAATATGCGGATCGAAAACTGTAATTTTATGCGCGCCGCTTGAATAATGTAAAATAAATGATCGTATCCAAGCATTTTTGCTGCTAATGCGATATTTACGATTATGCGATAGCTTAAAATTGCATAAGATCCTGAATTCGACGTGAAATAAGTGAACGTTTCGTGATATATAAGTAAAGGTAAAAATCGGTATTTCGACCCGAGAAATCCCATTTCACCCGGAATTAAACTCGGAAATTCGGAGACAGATTGACCTTTAATCCACGAGCTCGCAGACCGGGGCAATCTCGAGACCTCGAGTAATAACGCCTTAAAAGTCAATCTCCCGTTTTGACAAAGACTGTAATTTCCTCACCTAATTCTGTTAAGGGCCCTACCCAGAAAAATCTTCCGGGAAAATCTGAAAGAACGACGTCGTTACAACCGTTTGTGTCTCGACGTTGAATCGATGCTTTGATTGCGATATCCGGAAACAAACTCAAATTAGCTTACGCAAAGAAATTAATTTCATTTCATCTTTATTTTCTTTAATTTTCAGATTTATATTGCTGTGGAAAACGAAAACGACAACATTCCATTGAGCAAGGAAGCGGTGTATTATGCGACCGTTCCCGAGGAAAGTCCTCCGGGACGTCCTGTTATCCAAGTTGAGGCTACCGATAACGACGTCAATGATACCGAAATCGAATACAAGATCATTACTGGAAATGTTGGAGGATTCTTTCAAATTAACACATCAACAGGTTTGAATTAAATTAATTTAAACAATATTTATTTCAATCACAATTTATTACGTCAAGTATTAATTGACATTATAATTGAAAAGTTAGATTGTTCAATGTTCGATGGATAAGTCAATCTTCATTAATATAGGATATAGTGTTCTTTTAGCCTTTTATCCTCTTCCATTCGACAAACATCGTAATCGAATAACAAATTGGAACATCACCGCGATTTTTGGCAAATTCAATTCTCTCACAATAACGGGTCGACCGGATACGACAATTAATTTTATCGGTTCGTTTTGTGCAAAAAAAACAATACGCGCTCACAAAGATACGTTTACATAGTGCCGATAAAGCCAGGGGTGTTTTAATAAATGAAATTACAAGCGAAATGTTTTTTTGTGGTTTATAATAAAACCAAAGGGGTTGGTCGCCTATAAATTTAGAGCTGGTGCCCGGAAGCCTCTGTTCATGATTTTCCGATTAAAAAGGACAGCCGCATTGTGGGGGAGGGAATTTATGCTGGTCGAGGAAAAAAATCATATTTTATCGTTTTCCATCGTTGGCGGTGCCTCTAGCTACGACCGGATATGATAATTTACCGATCGACCGAGCCTTTGACGAACATTTTGTTTTATTTACACAGCCCAAAAGCAGAGTCATATAGCCGTTAAATTTCCGTTTTATTTTTTTTATTTTTGTGTTCTCTGAATTTATCAATTACCGTCTATATACGTGAACACACGTAATCCAATCTCACGTCTAACGAGTAACTGGGATATAACATTCCCTTTGTCGGTACAGTTTCTGAGGCATCAATCATGTTCGATAATGGCGTTGCGCCCGAAACTGTTTGTGCACCGACTCCAGACCGAAAATTTAATGGATTTCTATTATGTCCTAGCTTAGAAAAGCACGCGCCAAATACTCGTGTATTGAACACACGATACCCATCTAAACAACAACAAGAAATTTTAAACTTAAATCCAAAATAAATTCGAAACACAATTCATTATTTTTTATTAGATTTAACTAAAAGCTGATACAATTACTGTCATGAAATTGATTGGTTCAAAGCGAAATAGTTTTAACTGAATGTTTTATCTGAATGAAATGGAATAGATAAAAGTGTTTTTTAATCCAACTGACACGGAACAGTTTTTTTTTTCTATGTTTACAGTCGGAAAAGAATTCTTCAATTAATTTCTTTTTATATTCAAATAAAAAATTGAGTGAATTATTTTATGTATTGACTAAAATAAATCTTGTGCAATAAGCAGAACGCGAACTCTAGCAGTGGATGTTCTGCTTGGCCTATCTCATTTCCATTTGCATATGAAGAAAGTGGCTAGAACCACCATTTACAGATTTGCCTGAACGGCAGTCCAGGATCGAAAACGAAAATTCTCTGATTTAGGCAGATATTTGCATGTTCACAGATGGATCAAAAACGCCAGAAGGGGTCAGGACAGGACATTTCGGATTAAACAAGCCTATACTGTACTATATTCCCAGTCCAGGCGGAAGTATTTGCTATTGACATTGGTGCTAGAATCCTTCTTGAGAGAGAATGGTGAAGAACATGACAATACGATTTTTCTCAGACAGTCAAGCTGCAAAAGAACTTTAAATATACTGAATTGTGATAACAGAGTTTCTCTGATCAGGGTCCCAGGTCACTCTCGGATTGCTGGTAATGAAGCGGCAGATGAGCTAGCACGAGAGGACAGCGCTAAAGCGTTTGTGGGGACAGAACCAGTAGTTGATATATCATTTATGATGGCCAAACATAGGATTAGCCTGTGAGCTAAAGAGAGACTTTGCTAAACTGTAGATCAGTTTTCCTGGAATTAGACACGCTAAGTTGTTTATTAACATCGCCACTGTTAAACCAGGGAATATTTTTGTACTTGCTCGTAGCAGCATTAAAGTTCTAATGGATGTCTTTACCGGGCACACCTCCATTTGTTGGACCTAGCGGAGAATGTTGAATCCCGACTATGTACGCAGAACGAGGAGACGGCTGAGCATGTTTTATGCCACTGCCCTGCTGTTAATCCTATCAGATTCTCGATCTTTGGGTCGCAGTTTATCTCCCCAAAGGATCTGAATGATTTTTCACCGAGCAAGACATTAAGGTTCATTAAGAGCATTGGACTGCACGGTGAAATTTGATAATGTTATCTATCGATGCACAATAGATCTTTGAGGTGCACGGTTGGTTGGTCCGCCTACCCGATATGTAGTGTATGTATTGTAGTGTAATGTAATACACAAAGTATCGAACACTTTTATACATATAATCGTTATCTTAATTTGTTTAAATTTAGTTATTATTTGAATGTTAGCATAAATATGTTTTAGATAAAACAATCTCTATCAAAGAAAAAAAACAGAAAAGAAACTTTCGGAAAAAGGTGGCATCTCAACAATCGACAAAATTTATTTGATAAGACGGCAGCAGGAAGTTCGTGATGCAATAAAACGCGGCCCGACTCGGGCTTAACTTCGTTTGCAGTTTTAAGGGCTGCCAACCTGGCAGTACTTCACCCTACTTTTGACGCCGACAAACAGTCTGCACCATTTGCTGTTTTTCCACTTTTCCCTGGCCTTTTTTTCAGCAAGCTCCACTTCTTTTTCTTTATTTTTTGATATCCTCCTCCCAATTTTTTTTCATTCACTTTTTTGGGGAGTGGCTTTCGTGTCACCCCGCAATTCTGCGGTGTCGTTAAGCTGACACCCCTACGGGGGTTTCTCATTTTCTTTTTATTGCATATTAAATCTTAATTATTCCCAGTTGTAAAAATTTGCGTGTAGATTTACAGCTGAGGGTGTGGAATAAATGAAGAATAAAACAGAGAATCGCGAGTAGTATTGCGGACGGGCATTTATTATTATTGTTATTGCGCCCGCAAAATACACGTGTATGTGACTTTTACATTCACCGACATCTGTTGGCACGCGTGTACTTCGGGGACGACAGTAACAGCCTGCGGGTTGCGAGCTGGGGCTATAAATCCCTTTGAAATATGAAACTAGAGCGGTGTATTTTCATGCTAAAGGACGTCGTGGAAAACAAACTGGACCTGGAATTGTTTTGGGAAAAAGGCAAACGTTTTTCCGTTCGAAAAATCTTAAAAGATTAATTTAAAAAAAATCTCGTCTCTTCCACTCGAAGCGTTCTCCAGGAAACCTCACTCGACTAGTTTCGACAAGTTTCAACTCATGTAGTCCATGTACAAACTTCAACTTCTGCAGGATTAGCGTTTCACACGCAATTTAACGATCAAGCACATGTCAAGACCCTTACGTGGACAAACCACTTAGCTGACGTCATGTTGTTGTTAATCTTTTAAAAATAACAACAGTGATGTTAATATAATTAATATAAAAATGGAAAGTTATTGAATTGTAGGTTTAACGATTTGTCTGGAATCGTACACGTTAGTGCAACCACAAAAGCGAAATGGTGCACCATCGTGATGCTATCGACGCTTTCTGTTCAATTTCTCGAGAATCCTGAATATTGTTCGCGCTCGATGTCGAGACGCGTTCAGTTCTAATGACGCCCCGACGTCGACAATTGGACAGCTTTCCCAGTAAAGACAAGCCGTTGAGGAAGAAGACGCTCGGATCCTTCACACTGGGATAAATGTACCGGAAAGCCGAAAAGGATGCTTTCGCTCCTTAAGGAAACCGTTCGCTTGTACGCGGAGAAAGGATCCGGTATTAAAAATAAAATAAGAGGTAGAGAAACGAAAAACGAACGAACTCGGAATCTTTTTGGTACCTGACGTATAGATTATTACACCATTTCCTTCCTCTACGATGTTCTCGTTTTCACGTAGTCGGTGTAATGTATAAATAAAAGCAGCTTTATGATCTCTGATGTTTTGTAAAGCTTCCGTTAGATAGTCAAGAATTATTTTTGCGATATTGCAAGTTGTGCTAGATATTGTTGAGATTGCTTATGGCGCACATCATTTTGGTTCTGTACCGATTTCAGCAATAATTCATCCTCTTGAATTTTGAATGACTCGTGAATCGATAGTTCGTTGTCCTGATGTACAATGAAGTAGACGTGGCGCCGGTTGAAGAGGACATTATCCCACTTCTCTACTCGAATCTCTCTTCTCCCTAGTTTAGAACTTTACAACACTAACAATGATATTATTCACTCATATTGAGTGATTTAGAAATTAAGATATTTTCTTTAATAAATACACAGTTAAGATTATAATTAGTTTTATAATTAGGTAACCTGACAAACACTATACCTATAACCAGAAAGTTTCGGGTTTAGCCGTCCGTCTTCAGGCGTCTTATGAGGAGCACAGCTAAACGGCGACTTTTTAATACTTTGTACTAACCTTAAACACTAAATTCTTAATTAAAACTAATGATTCAAATATAAATGTAAGTAAAAGTTAAGTAAAGTTGAAAACTTAATCTCGTTTCAGGTTTAATATCTACGACACCACGTCGACTTGATAGAGAGAGTCAAAACGAATACATCCTCGAGGTAAGTAACCAACCCAATTTACAGTTGAAAATACCCCGGATGTACCACATCAAAATTTCCCACTTATTACGACCTTCCAGCACCGTGGCAGGTGCTTGTAATCGTTCTCATAGAGGAGCTTCACGACGCTCCACGATGCCAGTAATTATGCTAAGAAGGCACCAGATTTTGTGCCATGAAATTAAGTCAATAAACCTCGTTTAAACTAGGAAACTAGAATACAAAATTAAAAAGAAATCTTCAGGTTAAAGTTTTATTTTTAACCTTTTTTGTTGCGTTTGTCACAGCCATTAAATATTTAAATCTGTCCTGCACCCAAATCCGAGCAAGTTTATAAAATAATTAATGGGAAAGAGGACGAGGTCAGCGTTTTGTGTTTTTTTTGTAAAAAATTTTCGGATTTTTACTGGAAATGGTATGTTTAATTTCGAGGCCGTGCCATTTATATATTATTCCATGTGATAAATTATTCGGTGATCGTGATTTCGAGTGACGTTTACACAACCCTATTTTTTGTGGTCCACTTTTAATTATTCCAATGCTCGTTACTAAACTATTTTTAAGCACCACGTTTTCCCTTTAAAACCTAAAGCTCTTTTAAATATTAATTTGAGATTATAATAAAGTAAAATATTCTCCTCCATTATTATGCGATGCTTGATTTAAGGTTCCTTTTGTGCCCTTCCCTAAATTAATCTCTCAGTTGTTTCATTATTACACATAATGAGTAAAGTAGAATTCCTTTGAAGTTAAATTGTCGATTAATGCTGACCCCTTTTCTGTAATATAGGTCCAGATATCGGATAAAGGGAGTCCTCCGTTATCGTCGACTACGAGAGTTGTGGTTACCGTGGAGGACACTAACGATAACTCGCCAGAATTCGACGACAACTTCTACAAGGTGCAGATTCCCGCCAGCGCGGATTTCAACCAGGCCATATTTCAGGTAAATCAAAACCCCAGCCGAAGCAATCTAACCCAATCCGGATGAATCCCCGAGGAAATTTTGTCACCTTATTTTCTCAAAAAAATAAAATATATCTTCGAAAACCAGGTCACACGTCCTCAACTTATTGATCAAACGACCCATACGATAATAATCAGAATTGAAATTGCAGATTGATTTACAATAGAAATCAAAACAGATATTTAAAAATTTTCAAAAAACAATACCAATATAATACGATTATTTTCCAAGCTTATTGCTACGCACAAAATTCCTATATTTATTAATTCCAATTTATATGTAATGCGCTACAATTTATACACATTAAAAACAAATAAAACGATGAAATAACGTTATTTTATTCGATACGCGGAGGTTATTATAAATTAACAACCCGTGTGGTTATTATAAAAGCATCGAATTTATACACGAACAATCACAAAATTTGAATCGTGATATATTATATTTGGAGTTATTGTTATCGATAAAATCACAAATCAGTCAAAACTAGAATAAATAATAAAAGTGTGTTTAACGTATTTCATTAATTATAATTAATATAATTATATATTATATTAAAAACGTAAAGTTTTCTTGTCACCAGTTGGTGAAGTATCTAAAAAAATACAGGACAGCTGCACCCATAACATCATGGAAATAACTTTTTCAGTTTTTCACTTTTCTGCCATCTCCTTTCCTTGCCGTTTCAGTCTCCTTCCTTCTGGTCTATTGTTCTTATCTATTTTCAGTGTCCATTAAGTTGTTTCCTCTATTCTGCCAAGTTCTATCTTACCTTTACAGACTCACTCCTTTCTGTTCAGTCTCTTTTCTTTTACCACTCTCCCTCATCTCATCCTAATCTCTTTAATCCCTTTTTTAAGATTTATTGGCCTTCTTCTTCTGTTTCCGGTAGTTTTTAGCGTTCCATTTTTCTCCTTCCTTTCAGTTTAATATATTTTTACCAGTATAGTCTTGTTATAGTGCCTTTTTTTTTTCTTCTCATTCCCAGTCTCGTTCGAATTTCTTCCTTCTGCGTGGCTTTTGATCAGTTTCTTCTAAATTATTTTTTTTTTAATTTCTAGTCTTAATTAACTATATTGATTTTATCGGTAACATAACTTATTCGGAAATCGAGAAAAAGAATCTCACTGAATTTTTTTCTGGCTAAAAATAGAATGATGCTCCAGTAACCGACGATTTCGACGGTGCTGATGCAGCAGAAGATGAATATTGGGAAACGTCAAGTTCCGGTGACGTTGTAGGCCTCGACTTCGTCTTCAGGGTAAGAAGTCACCATTTCGACTTCGTCATCAAAGCTACTTTTGCATGATTGTTTTCTTTTAACGAACGGCCATCGATCGTCTAGGACCAGACCGCATCGGCCACACAGACATCAGTCTCATCAATCATCGTCTCCCTACATATTTTTTATTTCACCCTTTTCGGACGATCGCCGGAGCATGTCCTAACCTGTCATCGCCCCTCACTTCGTTTATTTCGGCTTCCGTCAGTAACAATTTTGCGTGTTGCATGTCTTGTTTCTGTTTCATGTGCACTGTGGATGTTATTTTGGCTAACAACATTGCACGAACAAAATCAAATTAAAAACTTGATTCTATTTTTTTTTTTATTATTATTTTGTTGTGATTTGTTTAGGCCTTGGCTTTCGACAAGGATGAAGGACGAAACGCTGAAATTTCTTATAGTATCAAATCTGGTAAAGGGAGGAATAAATTTAAGATTGATAATTCAACTGGGATTGTTTACGCGCATAAAGGATTTGAAGTTGGGCAAGAATATGATATTAATGTATTTGCTTATTTGATTAAATTTTTGGGAAATAATGAGATTCTTTTAGATTAAAGCCACCGATAATGGTGAAACTCCGAAGAGTGTCGTTTGTAGACTTTCTGTGTCTGTTATTGCAACTCCTCCGAGTACTTCCGCTCCGCCTTCAATTATTCAACCCGTTAAGATGGAAATAACTGAAAATGATATTCCGGGATTTTTGGTTACTTTGTTGCAAGCTACGGATCCGGATGGGGATTCTTTATGGTATGATATCATCGGTGAGTAAAATTTAAAAATATAATATAAAATAAATAAATAAAAAAATGTTATTTGCAACCTATAAAACAAAAAAATAAATAAAATATTACCCAACACATGTTGTATACCCACAAATACTTTTTTTATTAAAGCCATATTTCGGTGTAAAAATTCCACATTTTATTTTCAATAAATTCAATTTGGCCCTTTTCGAAATTAAATATCCTTCACCAACATATTGTCCCGTACTCATCGAAAATACAATATTGTACACAACAACGAGTTTATTCAACGTTATAACGGAATATTGACTGTATTCTATTACTCGAAACCATTGACGCGAAACGGTTAACTTTAATATCAAATTTTTGAGCGAAAAACCAACATGAATTAAATTAATTTGTTTTAGATGGTGATGAAAGAAATGAATTTTACGTTGGTCGTCAAAGCGGAAACATTTTATTAGCAAAACAACTCGATTACGAAACCCAAAAGGAATATATCTTAAATATAAGTGTAACAGACGCGGTAAATACGGTTTATACTCAATTAAATGTCACGGTTTTGGATCAAAACGACCATAGACCGGAATTTACAGAACCCGTTTATAAAGTTGAAATATCCGAATCGGTTCCGGTCGAAACGGAAATCTTGCAACTTGAAGCCACCGACGCAGATAACGAAGGAAAACTAGTTTTCAGCTTACACGCTGCACGAAACATGATCTCTTTACAAACTTTTAAAATTGATTCCATTACCGGATCGGTTACTTTATCGAGAGCTTTAGATAGGGAGAGTTTATCAGAACACCTTTTAACTGTTATGGTCAGAGATAGTGGTACACCATCGAAACGAAATTACGCGAGGGTGCTAATCATAGTTCATGACCAAAATGATTATACCCCACAATTTTCTGAAAAGATTTTAGAAGGAAAAGTGTTTGAATCGGCTTCCGTTGGAAGCGCGGTTCTTAGAGCGTACGCTGTTGATCATGATAAAGGCGAAAACGCAAGAGTGACTTATTCAATATCATCGGGAAATGTTGGAAATGTTTTTAGTATCGACCCGGATATGGGGATAATCCAAGTTGCGCGAGAATTAGATATTTCAGTTGCAACTGAATACACCTTATACATTCGAGCAACCGATCATGGTCAACCTTCCTTATCAACGACAATTCCCGCTCACATCATGTTAACAATGTCCGATAACGCCCCACCGAAATTCGTCGATAAGGAAGTTGCAGCCGAAATTTACGAAGACCAACCACTAGGAAGTTTTGTCGCCTTAATGAAAGTCAGAAGCACATCATCCCTTCAATTTGAAATTATAACCGGAAACGTTGACGACGCGTTCATGATTAGTCCAAGTACCGGGGTTATTATCACCCAAAAAATGTTAGATTACGAAAGTGTTAAGTTTTATAACCTAACGATTAAGGCGATTAATATGGCGAGTGCGAGCGCGACGGGAAATGCAATTATTCATATTTTAGATCGAAACGATAACGTTCCTCAATTCGAACAAGAAACTTATTCAGGAAGCATATCAGAATCGGCACCCGTTCATTCATTAATCCTCACAAATACAAGTGATCCCTTAGTGATAAAAGCAAACGACGCAGATTCCGAAATTAACGGATTACTTCATTTCGATATCGTCGAAATTTTACCAAGAAGATATTTCCAAATCGATTCAAACACCGGAGCTATAAGAACAATTAGATTATTAGACCACGAAACTTTCGACCGATTCACTTTTCACGTGACAGTTTCAGATTTGGGTAACCCAAAATTATCATCGGAAACCACCGCAAGAGTTGACATAATCGTAACGGACGTAAATGATTGTCCCCCTATTTTCGATCACAGCATTTACAACGTAACTTTACTTCTTCCAACTTATAAAAACGTTGCAGTTATTAAACTTAACGCCACCGATAAAGACACTGATGGCTCGTTAAAATACGATATAATCGACGGCAACAAACATAAAACTTTCGATATTAACTCGGCGACGGGACTTGTAACCGTTTTAGACCCGGAAAATATGAAGCAATCTTATAAACTTCAAGTTAGAGTATCCGATGGAAAATTTTCGAGCGTTTCCAAAGTTTATGTCCGAGTCGAACAATCGGAAAATTCCGGTTTAACATTCCAAAAACAAATCTACGAAGGATCGATATTCGAGAATTCAACAAAAATTAATAACGTTTGCGTCGTTAACGTTTTGGGTAGCGCCTTAAACGAACATTTAGAATTCCGCATTTTAAATCCGACGAATATGTTCAAAATCGGATTAACATCCGGGGTTATTAGCACGACGGGAATTCGTTTCGATCGAGAAAATAAAGACAATTACGAATTAATCGTCGAAGCCCGAAGCCATATGCCAGAAAGAGAAAAACCAAGAGTCGCTCACGTTATCGTTAACGTAACCGTTTTAGATGTTAACGATAATTGTCCAATGTTTGTTAATTTACCTTATTATGCGGTCGTTTCCGTCGACGATGAAAAAGGAAGTGTTATTGCTAAAGTACACGCTATCGATATGGATAGCAATGAAAATGGAGAGGTAAAAAAAATTTTTTTTAATTAAAGTGTTCAAGTATGTTATTAATTTTTTTTAAGGTGAGATATGAACTTATTCGAGGACACGGAGAATTATTTAAAGTGCAAAGGGAAACTGGTGCTATTGAAATAAAACAGAGTTTAGAAGGGCATAATCGAGAATATGAATTAGAAATTGCTGCATATGATAAAGGTAAGTTTTAAACAAAATCTCTTGTACCACAAATATTAAAGAATTGAAATTCAGTACAAATATTATATGAAGATTGATCTTTCATTTAATTCTAAATTAATCGTTCCATCTTAATAATGAACGAAGTTATCAATATTTGAAAATTGCTTGATTTTGCTAATATTTTAAACAATTTTAAGTTCAAATTTCAAGCTTTAATTTAAATTTCTTTATCTTCATAAATAAAGTCGAATCGTTTCTCCTAAATTTACGTTATTAATTGATCGTAATGCTTCATTTTCTTTCATTAAAGTGTTTTCTACATTATAAATATTTATTTTATAGGTATAAATCCATGCAGAACCGACGTAAAAGTGTACGTAAAGGTGATCGATCGTTCGATGCCCGTTTTCAAAAAACAATTTTATTCGGAAATCGTTCCGGAAAACGTCGAACTTCACTCTCCGTTAGGGCTTTCCGTGCAGGCAGAGTCACCTTTAGGTCGGAAACTGATTTACAGTATTGTGAAAGGAAACGAAATGGAAGAGTTCGCGCTCGATTTTAATACGGGTAAGTTTATCTTTGATTTTACTTTAAAATTTAGGCTTTTACTTTTTTATTTACTTTATTTACTTTTGCGTCTCCCATTTTTATAAGAATCGTTGTCTTTCTTTGTACGACAGGAGACGATTTTGCAAAACCTAATCTGAACCGCACGCTAAAAGAATTTCTTAGGGCATTTTTCAATTGTGGCGGTACAAATTCCTCTTCAGGTACAGGGTTGGATAATTAATATTTATTTTTATTAGTGTGATTAAAAATTAATCAAAACAGTTTCTTTTCTTTTTTTTTGATGGAAATGATTTAATGTTTTAAAGGTGTTGGTAGTTTTCTTTAATTAATATTTTTAATTGTTACTAAACAAAAAGTATACTCACTAAAAACTATTAGTTACCTAATTGTTATTTATTATTATTTTTTGTTTAAAGAAATTAATTTATTAAAAAAACTAAAACGTGATTTCCTTCCACAGCCCCTGATAGTAACAATGGTCCCTGTGAGTATAATTATTAATTATTGTTTAATTCGGTGTCTTTCATCTCTTTAATTGGAAATTCTTTAATTCATAATTTTCTCAAATTTCTTCGCACTTTTCTTTCTAAAATATTGTGTGTTTACAAAATTCATTCTTACTAACTCACATATGCATGATTAAAATAATAAATTAAATTTATATTAGCACTTTTTCTTAAACAATATTGGTGTAATTAAATTTATGCATGCAAAAATTAAGTTTCTTTCAGTTTAAAGTTTTCAGAAATGATTCTTAAATAGATACTCATTTCTAAAACTATAATTTATAAATATTCTTATTAAAAAATCTTTTTCAAACAATAAATTACTTCTTCTAGGTGTTATTTCTGTTGTCGACGAATTAGACTACGAGCAACAACAACAATACGAGCTCGTTGTAAGAGCAACGGATTCAGTTTCAGGAGTTTACGCGGAAGTTCCCGTATCGATAGTTTTGCAAGATGTAAATGATTGCCCCCCGGAATTCCAAGAGGAAAGTTATAACATATCAATATCAGAAGCGGCTCCTTTCGGAACTTCGGTTCTTGTAGTTACAGCGAAAGATAACGACACCGGGATGAATCAAAAAATTATTTATTCGATTAAGCAAGAAGAAGGAAATAATGCAACACTTTATTTCCACATTGATGAACATGATGGAACGATTTATTTGAAACAAAGTTTGGATCATGAAAAATCTTCATCTCATCATTTCGTAGTTGTTGCTGCGGATCAAGGAAATCCGAGTTTGTCGAGTACAGCTCATGTTTGGTTGACGGTTTTGGACATGAATGATAATCCACCCAAGTTTGAACAACCCTCGTATTATTGCGGGCTATCGGTTTACGCGAAACGAGATCAATTTGTTACGATTGTTTCTGGGAGTGATCCAGATTTAGTTGATCAAACGAGATTGAAATATTCGATGGTTGCGGGAAATGAGCAACAAACTTTCTCAATCGACTCGAATACGGGGATCATTTCTTTAACGAATTTAGCAAATTTTGGAGATCAAAAAAGTTTGCTTTTAAATGTTTCGGTTTCTGATGGAGTTTACACCAATTTCGCTCGATTAAAAGTTGAGTTATTACCCGCGAATTTGCACCCCCCAATTTTCCCCGATGTAATCATGGACGTTGAGGTGTCAGAAAATAAAGAACCCGGTGAATTAGTTGCTATTGTGAAAGCTAGTGATAAAGATTTTGGGAAATACGCCACTTTAACTTACTCAATACAATCTGATTTGTTATTAGAGGTGTTTTCGATCGATAAAAATTCGGGGAAAATTGTAACTCGAACTAAATTAGATCGGGAAAAACGGAAATTATACGAAATCCCCGTTATGGCTACAGATGGTGGGGATCGTTCTGGATATTTAACAGTTCGCGTTAAAGTTTCCGATAAAAATGATAACGCCCCTAAATTTAATTTACGCGAATACAAAGGATGCATTTTCTCAAATTACACCCAAGGACAATTTTTCTTAAAAATACACGCCACAGATCCCGATGAAGGAATCTCCGCTCAACTTCATTACGATATTTACAAAGAACCATCATCGGACGCCAATGAACTATTTGATATCGACTCAAAAACCGGACGAATTTATCTAATTAAAGATGCAACTTCCTACGAAGGACAACTTTTTCAATTTTTCGTACGAGCAACCGACGGAGGCCCAACACCAAAACATTCCGACGTTCCCGTAAGCGTCATGATAATGGGACCAAACGAACATCCCCCAATTTTTGAACGAAAAGACGACAAATTTTTCTTATCGGAAAACTCACCAACAGGAACGATCATCACCAGTTTAAAAATGATCTCGAATGTTACCGTCAGTTATAAAATTTTATCCGGATCGGAAGATAGCCCAACTTTCGCCGTTGATTCCCAAGGTCATCTTAGCTTAGCAAGACCTTTAAATTTCGAATCGCAAGTTTCTCACGTCATCGGCATTTTAGCGGAAACCGATTCAAGTCCACCACTTACAGCTTTAGTAGAAATTACACTTCAAGTTTTAGATGAAAACGATAACGCCCCGCATTTTGAAAGTAGTCCTTATGTGATTAATTTAGCTGAAAATACTGAAGAGGGGACATCAATTTTGAAAGGTAAGAAACTTTTTTAATATATCCAAGTGCATATCGGGAATTTCATATAACTCGCAATATATTAATTCTAGTTTTCGTTCAATATAACGCTGAATAACAATTAAAACTAGAACTAACACCAGATTTAGAACCAAAAACATTCGGGTTTAGCCGCACGTCTCTCAATATAAAACCATACAAATTCTGCAGAGACATACCACCATAAACGGATAAACTATAAAATAACAATATTTCTGCTACTTGTCTTTTTTACAATATTTTCTAAACATTACAAAAACACCAACATTAATTTACAGAAATTAATTCGTAATTCTTTTACTTTTAATTTAGTAACTGCTCACGATGAAGATCAAGGAAGTAATGGTGAAATAAGATATACTTTTGGTTCCGATGCTGGTGACGCAATAAATGTATTTTCGGTGGATGCATTTACAGGTTGGATAACGACCTTAGTTCCGTTAGATAAAGAAACGAAACCGGAATATAAATTTTCGATTATGGCAACGGATAATAAACACACCGCTCGAACGACGGTTATTATAAAATTGAAAGATTACAATGATAGCCCGACTTTATTCAAAAGAAAAAATTACGAAGGTGCCGTCCAAGAAGACGCTTTACCAGGGACGGTTATTTTAAAATTAGAAACAACGGATGCCGACATTGACTTAGTAACCCCAATTGATTTTTATATCATTTCCGGTGATCCAAGTTCTCATTTTAAAATAAGACAAACTGGGGAGTTGTACGTTGTGAAACAATTAGATCGAGAAACCGTTCCTAGTTATGAATTAGAAATTGTTGTTACGGATGGTTTATTTACGGATAAAACGAAAATTTTCATCAACATTTTAGACGCTAACGATAACCCGCCTTATTGCTTAAAATACCGATATCGCCAAGTTCTTTCTGAAGGTATCCATCCGGGTTCGTTCGTTCTAAGCGTTTTGGCAACAGATGCTGATGATCAAGAAAATTCAAAATTAAGATACATCTTAACTGGGGATGGATACGAAAATTTCTCTTTGGATAAAGATTCTGGTCATTTAAAAACCATAACCCATTTAGACCGGGAAAAAATGTCTAAATACAATTTAATTGCTCACGTTCAAGATAAAGAACACACCAATTGGGAGTGTTCCTCCCAAATCGAGTTAATCGTTTCTGATTTAAATGATAACGCTCCATTATTTTCACTCCCCTATTACTCTGTTGCATTACCTGAAGATGTTGAAGTTGGAACTTTAGTTACTAAAGTACACGCAACCGATGCGGATATTGGAATGAATCGGAAAATTAAGTATTCCTTCATCGATTCATTTAATAATCACTTTAAAATGGCTTCCGATAGTGGCATTGTCACTTTAGCTAAACCTTTAGATAGAGAAATACGCGCAATGTATAATTTAACAATTCAAGCTGTTGATCAAGGAACTCCCCAACTTTCCAGCGTTGCTTCGTTGATTGTTAACGTGCAAGATATTAATGATAACCCTCCAGAATTTGCTTCAAAATATTACTTTGCAACCGTTCCGGAAATAAATGCGGTTGGAACAGAAATTGTAAGAGTGTTAGCAACCTCAAAAGATACCGGGGTGAACGCAGAAGTTTATTATTCCATCATGGGTGGAAATGAACACAGAAAGTTTTCAATTCATAACAAAACCGGAGTTATAACACTTATAGAAATGTTAGATTACGAAAGAGCGAAAGATTACTTTTTAACCATTCAAGCAATCGACGGTGGAATCCCACCTTTAAGTAACGTAGCCACCGTTAATATAACAGTAACAGATTGTAATGATAACGCACCCGTTTTCGCACAAGTATCTTATAACGAAAAAATTATTGAAAACGCCACAATTGGAGATAAAGTCCTGCAAGTTACAGCAACCGACTTAGATAGTGGCGATAACGGAAGGGTTAGCTATTCGATTATAAGAGGAGACCAAGAAGGAAAATTCGCTATCGATGAAAACACTGGATTGGTCACCGTTGCAAATAAATTGGATAGAGAAATCGTTTCTGGTTATGTTTTAGAAGTGTTAGCGAAAGATAATGGACTCCCTGTTTTATCAAGACAAGTTTTAGTTAATATTGACGTTGCCGATGCGAATGATAATCCACCCATGTTTTCGCAAAGCAATTATACAGCAGTTGTGCAGGTAAGTGAAAATTGATTGAAAATGATTAATCATCAGGAATTAATTAATGAAACTCAATAATTATTTAAATTTTTTTCATCAGGAGGACAAACCAATCGGATATCCAATTCTTAAATTTACAATAACCGACGCAGATTCCCCCCCAAACACATCTCCGTACACTTTCGATTTCCGCTCTGGGAACGAAGGAAATATTTTCCGTCTCGAACAAGATGGAGTTTTACGAACAGCCAGCAAGTTTAATCATAAAATAAAAAATTCTTATCTCCTCCAAATACGAGTTTTTGATAACGGAACTCCCCCTCTCTATTCAGACACGTTCGTGGTTGTTCGAGTTATTGAAGAATCTCAATATCCACCTGCCATAACCCCATTAGAAATCAATATTAATTCGTTTTTGGATGATTACCCCGGCGGAATAATCGGAAAAGTTTTCGCAACCGATCAAGATCAATATGATACCTTAACATTTTCTTTATCCCCAACAACTGGGTTATTATATCCAACGATGGAACAATTTAAAATAGATCGTGTTGACGGAACTTTAACAGCTTTACCACATTTAGACGTTGGAGATTACCGCGTAAACGTATCAGTTACCGATGGAAAATATTATTCCCACGCAATCGTAAGAGTTTACGTTGAAACAATTAGCGAAGAAATGCTTGAAGGGGCTGTTGTTATTCGATTTAGAGAGGTCAGCCCGGAAGCTTTCATTTTAAGCCATCGAAAAGGTTTCGTTCGGGCTGTTCGAAACGCTATGAATTGTCGATTAAAAGATGTAATCGTAATTAGCGTTCAACCATCGGACGATTTCGAACATTTACGAGCTAAACGAGAAATTAATAAAGATTTAGATGTCTTGTTTACAGTTAAAAAATCGGATGTTGACACGTTTTATTCGGCCGAAGAAGTTCGAAAAGCAATCAATGATAACTTGGAAGATTTAGAATCGAGTACAAAATTGGTTGTTGAAGAAATCGTTCGAATTAAATGCACCCCAACTTATTGTCAATACGGAAAATGTGAGGATAAATACGTTGTTGAACCAACCAATGTTAAACCTATCTCAACAGACGTTACCAGTTTTGTTTCTCCAAAACATAGTCATCGAATGGAATGTTTATGCCATGAAGGTTACGGTGGAGATCGTTGCGATGTTATTATTAATGAATGCGCAAGATCCGGTTGTCCAACATACAAAATTTGCATCCCCGATTCTTCCAGCAAAGGATTTTCTTGCCAATGTCCCGAAGGGTTCGCCGGGTCATCGTGCGATATCGACATTTCAAAATGTCACGATGAATCATGTTACATTGCAAGAAATCCGATGTCATTTAAAGGAAAATCTTATTCCCAATATAGAATCATCAACAAGAAAGCCATTGAAGATCAATTAAGTTTAAGTTTACGAATAAGAACGATGCAACCATCAGGAAATTTAATGTACGCTTCCGGAAAAGTGGATTATAACATTTTAGAAGTTGTAAATGGAGTGATTCAGTACAGATTTGAGTTGGGAAGTGGTGAAGGTGTTGTTAGAGTTTCAACCGCTTATGTTTCTGATGGAAAATGGCATGAAATCCGCTTGGAGAGAGACCATAATAACGCAAGATTAATCGTTGATGGGGTTCATTCTGCTCAAGGGTCAGCACCCGGAATAAGTGATATATTAAATTTACAAAGTGATGAGATGTATTTAGGAGCCGAAGTCCATCGACATCCATCCATTTTAGGATTAGAAGATATCCAACGCGGATTTACAGGTTGTATGGATGATGTTAGAATCGCAAGAATCTCAGTTCCTTTACACAAATCAGGAGATAACTCAATAGCTGTGCTTAAAAGATTCGCAAATGTTGAATTTAGTTGCGATTCGAACGTTCTTCTCCCAGCTGGAGCTTGCGGTTCTCAACCTTGCATGAATGGGGGAACTTGCAAAGAAACCCAAACTGGATTTGAATGCTCGTGTCATGCGCGGTTCAAAGGAATTCTTTGCGAATACGACACCGATCCTTGTTCTTCATCACCATGTCTTTACGGTGGAAAATGTATTGCGTCAAACGGTGATTACACGTGTGAGTGTGGTTTTAGATTAACCGGAAAAAGATGCGAATACGGAAAATATTGTTCCCCAAATCCTTGCCAACACGGTGGAGTTTGCGAAGAAGGCGATGAAGGAGCTTTATGTAAATGTAGATCTTTCACCGGAGAATACTGCCAATTCGATCTCAACGAATGCGAATCCCTCCCGTGTCAAAACGGGGGAACTTGTATCAACGAAATCGGATCATTTCGATGTCTTTGCCCTGGTAACACAACCGGACATTTTTGTGGAACCCCAGAAACGTTGGCAATTTTAACACTTGGTCCCATCACATTGGGTTATTTCGAATTAATCGTAATCGCATCAACGCTTTTTCTCACCTTGGTTATCACAATAACACTTTGCTTGTACTGCAAATCAAAAATGAAGAAACGTAATCACGCTCATCAAGGACAAAATGTGATCATCAACGAAACCCGAAAAGATCCAATAGTGTATAATTCAAATCGTCCCCATGAAATGGTCGAGTTAAAACGTGGAAAATTGAGTAATTTGGAAGGAAATCGTCAACCGAGGCCGCAATCTTACGCAGCTACCCCGCAAAATGAAAATTTCAACTACAACTTTGGGCCGATACTCAACAATTTCGAGTCGATTCGCAGTTATGGATCAGCCGGTAATAGTCTAATACTTATAGACGCCGAATATGTGTAGAAAAAGTTTAAAATTAAAAAAAATTTAATCTTTTTTGAGTGTAACCAATTTTTTTTCCACGCTGACTTACGTATACAGAGCTGGCTTCAGAAAAACCAACGAGTAAAAGAACAGGTAAACCAACCAAGAAGATATTAAATTTTTACATTAAGGTTTTGTAGGTACTTTTTTATTTTTGATTTGATATAGAGAATGAAATTTTCTTTGGTTGAGTTTTTTTATTTGGTTTGTTTTAAAAACTGAAGCCGGTTCTGAAACGATTTTATTTTGATATAATTACAAACTTTTAATCTTTTTTAGGTGATGAGTTGGAGAATCCTCCTTTGAATAACTACGTGAGGAATTTGAACTTGAATAATCAACAATCCGGCATCAGTAACTGCGACTCTGATAAAACCGCGTGGGCCGAACAAATGCATTTGGCCCAAAGTTACGCTGAAAAACCCAAAGTTAAAAATGGTAAGTTAATTTTAATGGCGATGAATTACAACAATCTTTTAAATCTTTAATAATGATCGCTCTATTAACTCGTTAATTAATAAATAGCTTTTTTATTTAGCAATAAATAATAAAATAATACTTTTTATCTTGGATAAGGTGTGTTAAATAGTTATTAACAATGATTAAAACGGCATGAATTTTTTAAAATCATCTAATAAACTCATTATAATACATTTTCCCCCAATATAATTGAAACAATGTACAAAAAGACAAGAAAACTTAATCGAATTTTGATAATATGAAAATAATTTATTTTTGTTGTTGCAAAGTCAAAAACTGTGTGAGAATATATCATTTTTATTATAAATATATAGTGTCCTAACATCGTTGTCCTGGATACATCTCGTAATATCGGAAATGTTTCAACCAAGATTATGTGATTTTGCAAAAAGCCGGATACCCGGTTATCCGGCATATCTATCCGGCCATTATGGTTATAATTTCTGGCGCATTTCTGAAATGATACCCTATATTGCCACATTATTGCGATATTTGAATAAAAATGAAATTAATAAGAAAGCTGATAAGATATGTAACTTATTTGGATCCAAGATACACAATGAACTTTTTTGATGCTGATATCGAAGCAACTCTAAAAAGAGGATACTTTAATTAATAATCGAAAGTGATAACAGCGGCAGTTCTGTTAGTAATGAATGTGATAATGAATTATAAGCGAAGAGATGAAAACTAGATGAAACTGCAACAAGAGATTTTATATATCGTATTGGGATTGTTACAATGAGGTGCTAATGACAAACCTGATATAATAAATTTGTATTCAATGAAAAAAGTCCTTTTGGGGTTGAACCGGATATCCGTCCCACCACTAGTTTAATGTTACTTAACTTTAACTAACGGACATTAATTCTGATTGAAAAAACATGTTCAGGAAATTGTTACTTAACATCACATTGGTTTTTGACTTGACAACAACGATTAAAAAAAAAAATCAAAAATAAAAATACTAATTAATACAAAATTAACCCTTTAATTGATTTGATTCATTTATATTTTCATGAACAAAAACATTTCCAGCCTTATTAAAGGGTTAATTTCAAACGAGAAAAAATTTCGCTTTCTCGTTAACATCTTTAAATTTTATACTCCAGATTACAATATATCCAGCCAAGTAAACTGTGATCCTCCTAATAGACTGTACGGTGGACGAAGTAACGCTACTAAATCTTTAGGATCGCCATCTTTAAATTCAACAGACGATGACCAAAGATCTGTTGGAAGTAAGTCTAAACCAAAACAACAAAAGAAACACATCCCCTTTTTATATTAAATTTATCATTCGACTCTTTTATAATTTATCATATTCCACTAACCAAAAAAGAAACTAACACAAAACAATCTTTCCTTAAATATTTCTCAACTTCTAAAGAAACAATTTTTTTTGTAATTTTTTAAATAATTTTTTTTTTATTTTCTTGATTTAGGTTACCATTGGGATTGTTCGGACTGGGCTCGAAACAGTCAAATCCCGCTTCCTAATATAACAGAAGTACCGGGAAGCGAAATTCCCGATTCTTCCAGCTTCCATAGCAATGAAAGCAATGAATCGCGGTGCCATCATTTAAATCCGCACACTTTAGGACCCATCAATCCCGATAGAGATATTGAAACCCTTAATGAAGACTTGGAATCGGAATTTATGGCTGATAGCGAATGTGAAGCACACACGGCCAGTCCAAGTCTTAACGCTTTGGATAGCGGAAACGAAGAGTATAGATTTACCACAGGTAAAAATGAATAAATAAATTTGTGGGTTGGGTTGGGTTTGGTGATGGAAAGTTTATATTGTTGCTTTTTTTTGTTATTTATTTATAGGGCCAAAAGAAACTCTTGTTTAGCATCTCATATCTAGTTGTTTAAGAAAAATTATTTTTTTTAAAATAAGATTAAAAGAACTTGTAAGTCGGTGTGTGTTTGAATTTTTTAATTTTAACCACTTTTAACGGAATGTTATTGAAAAAAATCTTTTTTAACTAACTAAACATTTTTTTAACTCTTTTTAATGCAGTGCCTTTAATTATCGTTAAACCAAGTGAGTATTAAGAAAACATTAAAGTCTCGCTGCTGCAAAATCCGCACTAACATGATCACTTTAAACTTCTTTGAAGACTTAAGTTTTTGGGCGCTTTTAACACGATTAACTCTAATAATTTCTTTTAATTTCCTGATTTATTTCGATACATTTTTTTAGCTGACAGCTACGTTCGGCATCCAAACACTTATCTACCAACTCACGGGTACAATATTCCCAGCGAAGCGGAAGGCGATCCTTTGCATAGTCCTGGAGCCGATTCAGACGATGTTGAACCTTACGGTTTTCCAAGCAATCGAAATCGACGAAAAAATTGTGATGATGATATAGGATCAGTTATTACAGCTTTAGGTAAAAGGATATTTCTATTTCATTAAGACGAAGTTTTTATTTCATTTTTGTAGAAGAACGCGATTCATTATTAGGCCCAACATACGGTAGTAACAGTGATATGTCGACGAATTTGTGTGAAATCGAAGATTCGGAGTGCGAAACCGAACAAAAACCATTAAATTACCTTGGGGTTCAACAAACGTCCGTTTGACGAAAAGAAACGAGGGAAAATCGAAGGATTGCATAAAAAAATAAAAAAGACTTTTATTAAAATGATTGAAATAAAAATAAAAAAATAAGAAAAGGTAAGGTGTTGAAGAAAGGAATTGATCCCGCGTTTTTTATCACATCCGATGCATATCATAACAAAGATATGAATACGAGTGGAGATTAAATTAAATAATGATCCAAAAAAAATATCGAACAAAAATAATTCTTGTAAATAAAATTAAAAAACATAATTGTAAATAGACCCATAATAAAATTAACGATAATGTATTTTTTATAAATGTTATCTTCTTTTCGATAAAAAAAGAGACGAAAGGACCTAGAAACAACTTTTTCTTGGTTTTCTTTTTTTACATTAAGTACGAAAAAGTAATTATAAGTACCGCGACGTTATAAATAATTACAAAGAAACCAACTATAAATATGTATATGTAATTTTACTGATGTTACGTGTACGAAACTGAAAAAAAACCTAAGACGAAGAAAAAAATATTTAAAATGTGCCTATAAACGCGTGCTCCCCCGCGATGAAAAAACACAACGAGGGAGCCACTTTTATATTAATTTTAATAAAACGACTCTTCTAGATGTTAAGTTTTAAGTGATTGAGTTTAGTTAAATTGAGTTTTAGATTTTGACGGGATCGATTTTGTTCAAAAATTGAACCCGTCCTTTTTATAGTGAATTTACGTTGTTTTGCGTTGTACATGTGATACGAAAAAGAATTAAAAAATTGTGTTTCCTCCAATTTATTAGTTGTATTATTTCATTTTTTAAATAGATTAGGTTAATTTCGATGTCGTCCTTTTATTTATAAATAATTACATTGTATTCCAACAATGTGTATAAGACTTTCTTAAAAACAAGAATAAATTAATTAAAAAAAAATTATTTCTTTATTTTGAGTTGACTTTAAAAAATCATAATAATGATAGTCGGCATTCAACATCGTTTGTTAGGCCCAACAAGTTGGTGTGTCTTATCAGCAGTGCCAATATTCCTGGGTTTGGCGATGTTAATGTCATTGATACACAATATCAGTGCTAATGTGCCTTTCGCAGCCCATTGGTAGGACATGTTGGAGCAGTTTTGGGCATAGTGCTTAAATCTGTAAATGGCAGTTCTGGCCAGTTTCTCCATATGTAAATGCAAAGGAAATAGGCCAAGCAGAACTTCCATTGCTAAAGTTGGCGTTGTGCTTATCGCACCAGAGATTTCCAATCCAGCTACTCGTTAAATTCGTGAATGTTTATTGATAACTGAATCATAGGATGTATTTGATCAACCACAGTTACATAAAGCAAGTACAGTCTTTCAGGGGTAAACCCTAATTTTTTCTACAAAGACTACGACAAATCCACAAGAATAATCTAGCTTTGTGTAAAACTCCTTGCAGATGTCGATTTCCATGAGAAGGTTTTGTCTAGGATTACTCCTAGATATTTGACTTCCTTTGAGACAGGGATATTACAAGTTACATAACGTTTGATCCAATCATTTTCTCAAATTTATCTTAATATTATCTTATCTATTGTACAATAAATTTACAACAAATTACATAATATTTCATGATAAATAATCATGTTCTAAAAATAAAATAGTCCAAACACGTATGAACGGTTGCATGATTAATAATAACATCGACTCAGGTTTCTTCCCAATTAGCACTTGGCATCATTCATAAAAACAACGTTAACCTTCATATCGTTTCATTTCAATAAAACTCTTCAAAGATTCACAATTTACAATAAACAAGGTCAGTATCTTATTGTACAATCAAAATTTATTTATCGTTTTCTTATTCATCATTTCAGATGAATTTAATTCTTCAACTTCTTCTTGTAACTCCTCTAATACTATTTTTACTCATCTATATTTATTACAAACGATCTTTTACTTACTGGGCGAGAAAAAATATACCAGTAATCAATAAACCAACGATTCCATTTGGTAATTTATCAAGTTCAAAAGATGGCGTGGATTTCTCAAAATTTTTCCAAGATCTTTACACAGAATTAAAATCTAAAAATATTCCGTATTGCGGGTTTTACATTGGTCCATTTCCAAATTTGTTTGTAGCCGATTTAGATTTACTTAAATCGATGTTAACGAAAGATTTTAAACATTTTATGAGTCAAGGAAATTGGGTTGATGAAAAAGCAGATCCGTACAGCGCAAATTTATTTTTTATGGATGGTGAAAAATGGAAGGAAATGAGACCTAAACTCAGCCCATGTTTCACATCAGGTAAAATGAAAACGATGTTTCCTTACATGATGAAGTGTGGAAATTTACTTGGAGAACATGTTCATGAAGCTTGCATAGAAAACAGATCGATTAATATCAAAGAAGTTCTTGGAATTTATATAGCGGAAGTTTTAGGAAGTTGTGTTTTTGGTTTACAATGTAATAGTTTCGATAATTCTAAATCAGGATTCATCGAAGCTGGACATAAAGCTTTTAAAGCCGGGCCTAGATTAGCTTTAAGAAGAATTTTAACTTATATCTCGCCTAAATTAATTTCTTTAATTAAATTAACATTTTTCCCCGAAGAAGTTACTGGATTTTTTCGAAAAATAATCGACGAAGTTATTGCTTATAGAGAAACGAATCAGGAGAAGAGAAACGATTTAATGCAGGTTTTACTGGAAATGAAAAAAGATACCAAATTTTCTGTAGAAAACCTTTCAGCTCAAGCAATTGGCTTTTTTGCAGCTGGTTTTGAAACTTCTGCTGTTACAACCACTTTTTGTCTTTATGAATTAGCTAGAAATCCAGATATTCAAGAAAAACTTAGGAAAGAAATTTGGGAGTGTTTAAATAAAAATGAAGGAAAATTTAGTTATGATGGAATTGTTGAAATGAAATATTTGGATAAAATAGTTAATGGTACATCTTTTATTTGTAACTTTTTTGAAATAATAACGATTTTTTTAGAAACTTTAAGACTTTATCCCCCTGGGGGAATTTTGCAACGTTTATGTACTGAAGATTACATTTTACCTAATGGGGAAATTTTGGAAAAAGGTACAGTTATTAATGCGAGTCAAATGGGTGTCCATAAAGATGAAGAATTTTATCCAAATCCTGAGAAGTTTGACCCAGAACGATTTAACGAAGAAAATAAATCTAAAAGACCTCACATGACCTTCCTTACTTTTGGTGAAGGACCTAGAATTTGTCTTGGTAAATAAAGATAACAACAACAAAATTTTTACTTTTAGATCATTATTTTTTAGGAATAAAATTTGCTCATCTACAAATCAAAATTGGAATTATATCGATTTTAAAGGACCATCAAGTTTCTGTCGATAACTTCCTTGAATATCCCTTAGAATTTAAAAAGAACGCTATTTTTTTAACACCCAAATACGATATTTTATTAAAACTTAAAAAATCAACTTAAGTTTATTAGTATATTATGAAGTAGTGTTTAATATTATTATGTCATTATTATTGATTAAAAGATTATTTATTCAAGATAACTTAAAAATACATAAAAATAAAAAAATTGGATACAAAATTATTGAAACCTCAACTTCGAATAATATAAATAAATTTAAATAGCGTAGCCAAAAAGTTTATCCCACTCTTGGACAACTTCCATAATAAGAAACTTCAACACTTCTTCCACAATTTTGAGCACATCTTAACCATCTCTCATTTGCGTAAGTTATACCATTCGTTCCGCAAACGGGATTGTATTCCTGAGTAATCCTGCAAGCATTTTCACAGGGTGATCGAGTTGTTGCCATTCCAGGAATAGGAACAGTTGAAGTTCTTAAAGGCGATTCAGTTGGATCATTAGGTAAACGACGGTTATTATTATTATTATTATTATTCCAGTTATTGATATTATTCCAATTATTATTATTGTTCCAATCGTTATTATTGTTCCAATTATTATTATTTAAATTTCTGTGGGGATGATTCCAAGACGATGGAACATCATCTTGGAAAACAATTCTATCAGAATTAAATTGTCGAAATTTATTTTTGTTGTCATTGAAATTTGGATTAAAATTTGATTGTTCACTTTCATCCCAATGAAAATCAGGATTAAAATTGAAACCATGATAAGCAAACGAAGATTTAAAGATTAATAAAACTAAAAAAGAATGTTTAAACAACATTTTTGTTTGTATAAAAGAAATTCTTACCGAAAAAAATAAAACTTCCCATTTTATGAAGAACAAACTTTGGTAATGCTTAAAATTAAACGAACGTTTACTAAATCTTAAAGTTAACTTTACAAATACAACTTGCACCTCTTATTTATATGAACCTATGTCCGCAACACTTTTTTGTTGTTTCTTCTTACCGTTTTCCCTCCACTTTTTACATGCCATTCATTTCTTTCTTCACATTCTTAAGCACCCTTTTTTTTCGTAACAATCACACCTCAAAAAAAACTTTTGAAATTTTTCACCGACTCATCTGACTAAACGCAATGACCGTAATAAATTTCTGGAATTACCATCAACTTGACCTTAAACTATTGATTTATATCACATTTGTGCTTCCGTGATACACTCATACGTAAACTTTTAATTTTGTAACAAAAAATGTAGTTTAAATTAACGTTTAAAGAATGTCTTCGATTCCGATTCTAATGACACTATAAAGGATACGTTTGAAATTTTACAATAACATTAAATATGTTAAACGATTCGTTTACGGTGAAAAATCTCATCATCTTCGTTTTAGAAAGAGACGACGAAGGTTGTTTCGTTCGATTATGGTTGTTGCTTATTTTGTTTTTCTGGAAGGGGGTTCCCAACAAGCATTCTTCAAAACTGAAAAATTAAGTTTGTTTTAATCCCATTAATCAATCGTCTGGGTTTAGTTAATCAACACGATATGAGTCTTCAAATAAGTCTGTTTCGCGTTTTTTATGTTTTATTCATTAAATGAATAACTCGGACGATGATTTATAAACGATGTGATCACAAATTATATAAAGACTTACCACGTATAATGAAAAGAAGATTAAATAAAAAGAACATTGTGCCATAAATAATTTCTTATTTTCCTACGATTTTTTAAACTCAACTCTGTACGTTAGATTGTTCTAAATTTAAAAAATAAAAACTTAAAACATCGTATCTCAAGAACAAATTGAGATATCATGACGAGATAAGTATCATAAATGTGCCATAAATAAGTTCTTATTTCCCATAAACCTAGTTGTTATTATTTTTTAATCACATCTCTACATCTTTATTAGTTTTTTAACAATAGTAATTTAAAATAATTGTATCTCAAGAACTAATTGAGATAACATCATGAAATAATAAATGTCTTAAAGCAAATTTAATACAGGTTTAATGTACCATAAATAATTTCTTATTTTCGATAAACTTCGTTTCTAGGATTTTTTAAACTCAACTCTGATTATTGAAAAATACAAATGTTTCAAGGTTAAGTAAAGCGTCAAAAGTTAACCGAATCTTTAAGAATTTATTTTGATTCTATTTATAAAGTTTAAAAAGCGATTTATACAAGTTCTCTCTCTAAATAATCCCTCCATTTATACATTTATTTATTAAGAATTGAATGAGTCATTTAATGAATACTAATTAGTGCCAAAAAAGGATGCAAATTACAAGCTAGAATTGTTAATGAAACAGTTTGTAACCACTTTGCGGTCTCTCAACTATCGTTAATTATGATTGATCGTTCGTAGAACGACGAAAAATAATAAAAAATACATAAATCGATTATAAAAAGCGACCGCGTTAAGTAATGTTGATTAACAACGAGTTTAAAAGATCAAGATCATTACTCATTCAAAAAAACTCGGTTTTTTGCGTCTTTCCAAATAAAATTTTTTTTAGCTTTCACAATTTTTTACAAGGTCTGTAAAAAATTGGATGATACATTTGCAAAACAAATACCTCAATAGATGGTTAAATTTATTTAAAAAGATTATACTTCAAAATTACACTTTCGAATTTATATTTTTAATAACGAGATTTTTATTCAAGGTCGTTGTAAAGATTCAAAGTCGATTCCACACGTAATCTCGTCTTACAACAAACTTTACAATCTTAAAAGACTTGAAACACGGTTTAGTCTTTATATAAACTTTAAACAGATTTGACCTCTTTTAATATTTTTGTAGGAAATTAAATTCAACATTTTCTTTAAACAAAATGAAGATTTTCTTTTTTATAACCGGTAAGTTAAATTTTATTAATTTTGATGCAACTTAATTAATTATATTTATTATTTATATTTAAGTTTTCTTTGTTATTGCTTCAATTAACGCTTTACCATCAACAACAAGGGAAAAGCGTCAATCAAATACATTCCAATCGTGTTTTGATGCCTGCAAAGATTTCACAACAAGAGAATACAATCCAATTTGTGCTTCTGATGATGTAACTTATAATAATCGGGGTGCTTTTAATTGTGCCCAACGTTGTAATGAAGCTTTAACTATTTCATTTTTTGGTACTTGCCAACCTTTGTAAAGAAAACCTTTTTTATACATTAATTTCAAACTCCTAATTATGTGTTATATGGAAATATTGAATTTTATGGAAATAAATTGATAAAGTAAAAGAGAATGTTATTTCTTATCGCTTAGTTATACAACAATTTTAATTCCGATTTTTGCACGTTTTCTGCTAAATTAGTAAGTGAGAAGGTCAAAATGCTGCAGAAAAACGTGCAAAAAAGATGATTTGCACTGCTTTTACCTCTGAAACGAGTTAATTTATAATCAAAAACGTCGAACGAAGAAGTTGATAACCTTCCCATTATCTTAGAATTTTATTTTTGAAGGTGACCGATTTTGTTTTCATTTCATTACAATTCTCAATATTGTTTAAAACATAAATGAGTCTTATTTATGAGTTTTTCAAATTAATTTTTTTTTCAAACAAAAGATGTAAGTTACAGAAATTCTAAATGTTTAATCCGAAAAATGAGTAACCGTTAGATTGTTTTGGAGAAGATAGGATTGGAGATTTTTCGTTTTCAGGAGAGTTTTAAATCTTGTACAACATAAGTGAATAAATTGTTTATTTAAAAAATTAGTGTTATAATTTCAACTTAAATACGTTTAAAGCAACACGAGAAATATAAAAGTACAAAATAATATCATAGTTTTAAACGATGCATCATCCCCGGCTATATTTAACAAACTGATTCATAATTAACTTTGATGTCTGTAATAATAAGTTTATAAGTAAATAGATTTTAACATTATCTTTAACATACCTTTCTTGCAACATCTTACAGCACAATTCAACCTTCCTTTGTTACGATAATTACAGCCATCTGTCCCACAAACTGGGTTATATTGATCTATGATATGTGCAAGGCAATTTCTTATACATTCTGGAATAATTTCTTGATTGTCCAAACAATAAACATCTTGCGGAGGTGTTGGTACACAAATTGATGGTGGTTTTCCATCAGTTGTTGTTTTAGGAGGTGTTGTAGATGTTGTTGTAGGAGGTGTTGTAGATGTTGTAGATGTTGTTGTAGACCTCCTTGTCGTTGGTGTTGGGATTGGGGTACGCGGAGTTTGATCATTCCAATCCCATTGACGTTTTAATCTTAAAGTATCTCCCAAATTTAAAAACAAACCTTAAAAAAATAATAGTTTGATGTTTTAAAATCCATAATTAGTTATTAAACTCAATTGGTTAGTATTAAACAAGTAATTATTGTTTACTTAAGCAAATGTTGTCCAAAATCCCTCAATAGTGAATGATAACCTTTACCCTCTTTTCTCCGAAAATTTGTTTAGTGATAATACTTTAAAGTGACTTACATAAAATGACACAAAGAAACAAATTAAAATTTCCAGTAAACATTTTTGCTTGTCGTTCGTAAACTAAACGGGTAATCACTGAAAACTGAAGAACGTTGGTAACACCGACCTGTTTTTAAAAGTAATCCACAAAAACCGGTTGCATATTTATGTATCTGTTTATATTCTGATTGTGGGGATTTTACATCTTGAACCATTTATTATGAAAGATTACTGATAGGTGGCGGTAATTAATAATCAAAATTAAAGTCCCTAGATTTACTTACCTAGTACTTAGTACTCCACCATTTACAGGAATGTCTATGGATGTTTAAACACGTTCTTAGCATCGAATACAAGATCTACAATGATGAGGACATTGAACACTGAGCAATTTCTCTTATTTTGGGAGGTGTACATGAAACATTTTTTTCAGGTGAATACATTTTGTGTTTTGACAGTTTCTAATTGTCAATTCAAATTTCTATTTTCAAGTGTTACGGTGTTACCAACTGCTACATACCTATTTCAATAGATTGTCAAAATTTCTTTTATTTTTGTTAAAAAAAAAGGATAAAAACGCGAATTACAAAAAATAGCATAAAAAACACGTTTCATAAGACTTAAAGCACTCATTTTTTATTGAAATAAAAAATACAACTACATTTATGAGACATTCTACAAACTATTTAGCAATAAAATTTATAAAATTTTGTTGTTATTAATTAGATGTGCGAATGGACGAAAAAGATATATAAATAGGTCCATCCTTAGAAAAAACAGCCCGTTGCGTTTCTGTGGCAGCTCAAAAGTGCACCATGACTTTATGGACGCATATAATGCAACAAATATATGAGTGTAGAAAGCAAAGCATTACAATGAGATAATGAGAGATCTAGGAACCAAGTGGCCAGGATATCTTCATCATAAGAATTAATGGGAAAAAATAAATGCATTCCCTTTTTTAATAAACAGTCGAATTAATTATATTGAAATACATATTTTGTTGCTATTCATGTTCAACATTCTCCTTTATATAGCATCAGAATCTCTAAAATAATTTCTTTGTTACTCAAGAAAATCAATAAATTTTTGTACTAACCCTTTCCACAGTTAGAAATACATTTTAACTCCTCAAGATTGTCATAGGAAGTAAAATCAGTTCCACAAACAGGGTCGTACTTGTTCGAAACGATTCTATAACATTTATTTTTACATTCTTCTTCTGTAATTCTTCCCTGGTCAGCCGTAGACGTTGTCGTTGAGGGTTTTAGTGTGGTGCTGGTGGTGAGCTTCTCCGTCGCCAACGATGTTCGGGGGGTTTGATCATCCCATTCCCATTGTCGTTTAGATCTTAAAGAATTTCCTTCAATATTTATCAACAAACCTGGGCAAGTAAAATTAAATTTAAATTTGTAATGATTTTAAAATATTTAGTATACTCACAAAAGATAATACAGAGAAACCCAATCTTCTTTTCGAAATGCATTTTAATTTTGTCTGTGTAATTTTGTCTGAACGGGTTTACACTGACGACTGTCTCAATTTATGGAAATACGAATTTTTAACGGGTCAAGTAAACAAGGTCGTTCACATGTAAAGGATTTATTACTATAAATTATTGTTAATTATAAATTTGTTAAGAAAAATATATAGGAATTCTTCAGTTCTGATTAATACATTTAAGAACACGGTCCGTGGTAATCCAAATCTAAATTAGCTGTAATACAAAAAATAGATACAAAATAAATTGGCGTGATTAAAAAATCAGTCTTATCAACTTAAATTAAAAAGAATTGATCAAAATTTTTCGATTACAATGGAGAACATGTTCCAATAAAGCTAGTTACAACACCTAAAATCATTTTTTTAACTCAAAAATGTCCCAATTTCTTTTTAAAACTTACCTTTTCCACATACTGCTGCACATTTTAACTTCGATTGATTATCATAAGTTACATTATCCGATCCACAAATAGGATTGTATTCATTTGTAGTGAATCGAAGACAATTACTTTGACAGTTTAAATCTAAACCATTATTATTGTTATTGTTATTATTATTATTATTCCCATTATTGTTATTATTATTAATCGGAGATGTTGTTGTAGATGGTACACGAATAATTTCTTCATCCCAAACCCATTGCCGTTTTAATCTTAATGAACCAGCGTCGATGTTTAAAATTAAACCTAGAATTATTAAAAATTAAAGATTATATAACAATTGTATTAGATATACTCACATAAAACGAGGCAAGATAACAAAGAAACTTTCCCAGAGGACATTGTCATTTTGTATAGGTAACTGAACGAGGCCCAACACAAAGATTGGAAGATTCACTCACAACTGGTTTTTTAACATGCTCAAGACCGGTTGGGTATTTATATACTCGTTTAATTAGAGATTACTGGGATTTACCAACTTTGTACTTGGAAATTCCATTGTTTAATGTAAAAAATGAAGTTAATCCAATACATTGAATTATGGAGTATTAGTTTTAAAGTAGTAATATTTCATATTTTGTACAAATTGTTTAATAATTTAATTTTTTTTTAATCGAAAATCACAACATTTAAAATTAGAGGAAATTTCGCAACACAATTGCGTACATAGCTTGTACTCATAATAAAATTCTCATCTTTGTGTAATGTATCAAACCGTTTAGTATAATATTATTATATCAAAATCATGTCAATCAAAACGTCGAACTTGTATAAATATTTAGAACGTTTCAAATCAACACAATCAATTTATTCGAAACGTTTTTGATTTACTTAAGAAATTTTATAATGTTATCTTATTTTTTTCAAATGAAATTATGATAAACTTGTAAACCATACAGAGCATCGATATTTATAACACAAAAGATCAGATTTATTTAACTTAATTCTATGAAAGCGATTAATCAGAATAATTTGTTAGAAAAACAAAAACGAGTCATTTTATCAACTCAACAGTCTTCAAAGATGATCTTTAGTTATTGATAAACGCAGTATTTGTAGAATTATACATATATATCTACATTGCAAGTAAGAAATGAGATAAACTCAAAAATAGAGAGCAATTAGGACAGACACAGAGAGAAAAAATGGTGGGACGGTGGGAAAGTCTTATCAGAAAAATTAACCCATCTATTCAACAGAGTGCTGCAAGACTCTGAAGTACCAAATGAATGGCACAAAAGCATAACAATTCCCGTATTCAAAAAAGGGATAAAAACTAACTCTGAAAACTATCGCCTTATAACACTGTTGAACACTTCTATTTACAAACATACTAAAAAATAAGTTAGAAAATATCGTAAGAAGAACCAACAACGTTAGGAAATGCAGATCGATAACTGATGCCGTATTTGTCATAAATTTTCCACCTTATATTTTTGCCTTGCATCCCTGCATTGAGCCTTCGACTTTATCTTTTCACCATATCTCATCTATCTTCTTGCGCCTTAGACTATGAGTCATAGCAGTCACTATCTCACAAAGCGTTTCCTCTCTCTTCGCGTCTACGTCTCCGCGTCGGTTAAAGAAAAACAATATTTTCTCCAAAACTGTTAGGAATCAAGAAATGAAACTGTTTGAGGTTGTAAAGGAAATTTTGAGGTTTGGCTAGACCAAATTTTAAGTTTACAATGTACTCAGTTCATTTTATATACATTTTTAAAATCTATTCAATTTGACATTTGCTAAAAGTGAGGTTAATGCAAAAAGTCATTTTCTCCAAAACGGTTAGGATTTAAGAATTGAGGTTTTTTGAAGTTGTAAAGGGGCGTTTAAGGTTTGGTTATACCAAATTTTAAGTTTACAATGTAATTAGTTTATTTTATATACATTTTTAAAATCACCTATTCACTTCTTTTCGTTACCTCGATCATCTCTTGCATACTTTCCATTCTTCTAATGGTAGTTTATCAATTTTTGATCTTCTGATCTGAATACACAGATTGCTCCCATGTTTCCTGGTTCACGACTCTTGCCCCAGTATAAATGTACTCCCCCGTCTCCCTCTTCCATTCTTATTCTACACTTTATCTTTTGACAATCGCTTCCTCTCCCCTCCTGTCGTAATGAATAAATTTAAGATAAGTCAATAAATAACAAAAATTTTACTGACTCTTTTTCTCATTAACTTGTTAGTCAAAATAATTTTTGGATTAGACACTATGATGAAAACAAAAACGATTATGACGCAACAAAAATTTACTACTTCGAATAAATTGTTTTTTGGAAGATAAGTTTTGCTTTAAAAACAGTTTTTTATCCGAATTCTCGATAAGCAACACACACGTGTTAACCGTTTTATTCTCAGATTTCTCACTTTTAAAAAAATCCCAACGAAAAGATTTTTTAAATGTAAATACGCAATAAACGGCGACGCCAAAAGAGCATGTTTAAAATGTTATAATTAGATTCGTTTATTGCGTATATGTCACAAAAGATTTTAGTATCGGAAATGCGTCAATCATATTTCACCAGAATGAAATAACTTGGTTATAAAATGTAACGCACAACAATTAAAATTAATTAATGAATTAATAAATTCTAAATTTAGATTTTATTTTTTATTAGATTGGAAATAGCTTATCTGACCCATTCTAAATATACATATAAACTCATCAACGACATCTTTTTTGCCCGATAAGTTCAAAATTCATAAACGTGACATAAAAGAACGGTTTTTGATGACTGTCGTTGAACGAATCAAAAAGCGAGTCTTCGAAAACATCAAAATTCGAACCGTATCGAACCAATCTACATCCTTGATCTGGTTTGGCAGAGAAATATTGCGTCATGTTCTTGAGATGATAGGAGGAACGGCGCATAAGAAACCGATTATAAATCGTCATCATCGTCGTCGTCGAAAACTGGCATTAATAAAGCATATAGACAATTCGCTAGTCGGTTCAGTTTATCGCAAATTGTGGTCCAATCCGGTTATATAAACAATTCTGAAACAAATTTTTATTTAAATTTCTAAGTTGATTCACTCAAAGAAGTCTAAAAAATAATATTTTTGATTCTGATAACATTGTTACTTCGTTATTTTTGATTTTAACTTTCAAAAAATCAAAGGCATGGATAAGAAGATTGTTTCTGTATTCTTCGTGATTTGTAAGTGTTTAAGTTATTGTTATCTAAATTATTGATGCAGTTTCAACATTTCTATTTTTGATCTCGCGAGTTTTGAAATCTTAGTAACAAGTTATCTTTTTGCTAAATAATGTAAAATTTATCACACACTTTTTTGCATCAAAGTTCAAATAAAAAAAATTTCAGGTATCTTATCACTTCAAGTGTCAAATGGGGCTGTAATTCCAAGAAATTGTCGCACGCTAGGTTGCGAACAAACAGGCCCTGTATGTGTAATAGATGAAACAGGAATACCAAGAACATTTTTGAATCGATGTCTAGCAGAACTTCTGGGCTGCCAAAAAGGAACGTGTAAGTATTCAAAGGGAAATTGAAAAATATTCGTTTGTTGAGTTGATTTTAAAAATAGCGTTTGCAATTCAATTATGGTTTATTGTTAATGAACGGCAACGAGTGAGTCGACGTCAAAGAACATTTTTGAAATGCACGCAAGGTTAAATGAGGCGTCTGTCGGCGTCGTAAATCAATAAATCGCTAAAATAACGAGCAATCGTTTGAACAATTTGGATCAATTTAAGTTCTTCTCGGGCGGCAATCAATATGCAGAGCGAAATTTTTATTCGCAGCAACCAATTCATCAATTCTTATTAATTAATGCATTTTTTTTATTTCAGTTTATGCAGAAGTTAAAGCGGGCGCTTGTTAGAGGCATCCCAAAATGAATTACATCAGTAGGAATTTTCAAAATTATAAGAAGTCTGTATCAGTATCAAACATTTTTTTTTGTAAATAGTGTAGTTTTTAATTATTACAAATCAGTATAAATGCGGAATTTTAAATTTTAGTCGGATTAACCGAATTAAATTATTTATTTTTAATCATTGAAATGTTACTTAATTTATTAGATAGTTTACTAACAATTTTCTTAAATAAACTTATTACTGTTTAAAATACAAAATAAATCTTACCTTTACTTAAAATTAAAAATAAATTTAAATTTTTGGAATTTTCCGCTCTATTTATTTATTCTTTACTAAAATGTAACTATTAATAATTAATTAAAATGTTATTTAATTTATAATTATAATTTGTTAAATAAATTTCATTTTATATAATAAAGAAATTAACAATATTTGATGTTTACCTATTTGCTACAGTTACAAGTTATGATTTACAACCCCAAAAAATTATTTTCTTTTTAACGGTTATGAATTAAGAATCGAAACTGTTTGAGGTTGTAAAGGAATGTTTGAGGTTTGGTTATACCAAATTTTAAGTTTACAATGTAGTTTCTACATTTTTATACATTTTTAAAATCACCTAAGTATTCAATTTGACGTTTGCTAAAAGTGAGGTTAATGCAAAAAGTCATTCTCTCCAAAACGGTTAGGATTTAAGAAATGAGGGTTTTTGAGGTTGTAAAGGAACGTTTGAGGTTTGCTTATATCAACTTTTAAGTTCACAATGTGGTTAATTCATCTTATATACATGTTTAAAATCACCTATTTAATTTGACGTTTATTGAAAGTGAGGTTAAAGAAAATAAATTAATTTTTCCAAAACGGTTAGGAATTAAGAAGCGAAACTATTTGAGGTTACAAAAGAATGTTTAAGGTTTGTTTATACTGATTTTTATGTTTACAATATAATTAATTCATTATGTTGTGTTCTGGTGTTAAAAATCATAATTTTTGTGTTGGTAGTGCCTCATCAAAATTATTATCCTTTCATTTAATTCTAATTATTAATAATTAAAATATTACTAAATTAATAATAATAATTATTAAATAAACGTATTTTAGCATAATTAATTAAATAAAATACAAAAATATTTTATACTAACCAACACGAAGTTGCACTCTTACTTATCGCTTAGCAGCTAACTTCTCATCAAAATGAAAAATAACTGACGTATTGTTTATTGTTTACATCTATTTTTTAAAATTCAAACTTTCCTCAAAATAATCCCTTTAAACTATTTTTAAGTGACCAAAAATGATTAACAAAACTAAATAAAGTGATTTAATAGCAACAAGCAGTGATTAAACCGCTCAAACTATGGCAAGTTCGATAAATTCGTTTAGCGAACGGATTGAGGTTAGAATTCTCAAAATCAAGTTAATTCTTATAATAATTCAACAAATTTGTTATTTTAGGAATACGAAGTGCATAATTTACTTGGTAAAGGAGGTTTTGCTTCCGTTTATAGAGCAAAATGTTTAAAAACAGGGATGAATGTTGCTATAAAAATGGTGAGTTATTAAAACGTTTTAGTGTTTTGAATAAAAACAAGTTTATGTGGTTTTAGATCGATAAAAAATTAATGCAAGCTGCTGGGATGGTTTCAAGAGTCCGTCAAGAAGTTTCGATTCATTATCGATTAAAACACCCTTCGATACTTGAGTTATACACGTTTTTCGAGGATCAAAACTATGTTTATTTAGTGTTGGAATTGTGTCATAATGGGGAATTACAACAGTATTTAAAAAAACATACTGAGGTAAAATGAAAGATAATTAATAATAAAATAAAAGTAATAGTATGAATATATCACTACTTTACCGACATTGTATATGTGGTTGCATAATCTAATTTTTGTTTTATTTTAAAGCATCATGTTCTTTCGGAATCCGAAGCAAGCAGTATAATGAGACAAGTAGTTGAAGGGGTACAATATCTTCACTCTCATAATATTCTCCACCGAGATATGTCACTTTCAAATCTCCTTTTAACAAAAGATATGCAAATTGTATGTTGATAAATAAGTACAAATAAATATTAATTATCTAATTTTTTTTGTATAGAAAATAGCTGATTTTGGTTTAGCAACACAATTATCACGCCCGGATGAAAAACACATGACGATGTGTGGAACTCCAAATTTTATATCTCCAGAAGTGGCTTCTAGAGGATCACATGGTTTAGAGGCCGACGTTTGGAGTCTTGGGTGTTTGCTTTACACCCTTTTGGTTGGTACGCCACCTTTTGATACTCAAGGTGTTAAAAGTACATTAACCAGAGTTGTAATGGCGAATTATCAGCTTCCAAATTATCTTTCTGTTGAAGCTAAAGATTTAATTAATTCGTTATTGCAAAAAAATCCGAAAGATCGGATTCATTTAACTCAAATTCTTGAACATCCTTTTATAAAACGAGGTAATTTAAGGATATCCTCGAATTTAACTCACGATAGTGGCGTTCACACCATGTCCAGTAAAAGAGAGAGTGCTTTAAGTGATGGGGTTTTATTAGATAGTTTACGTAAATGTAATAGTGATTATTTACCGGTTTTAAATCAAAGCCCAATTCCCATCGAGTTAAAATATAAAGGATCTCAAAGCGTAGATCACTTAACAAATCATTTTGGGTCATCTCAATTAATTGAGGAGCAACAAAAAGTTTCTGTGTTCTCTCAAGGATACGGTTGCATTGGGAGAAGTCAATGTAGTCAAAAATGTTGTCAACCGAACGATCCGGGTGGAGGTAAAGTCTCTGTGATGTCCACCTCTGAAAATATTCGACATAGTTCAAAAAATTTACAAAAACTTTGTAGCCATCGACTTTTACCTACAAGGCATCAAACGAAAAACGCAATCTTGAGTATTTTGGATGATTCCGAAGTTTGTGTTGAGTTTATTAAAAAGAGGGGTCATTTAAAACGCGAATTAGTTTGTGAAGTTTGCCGAATATCGCCTGATGGTGAAAGAATAATCCTTTATGAACCCGAAAACGGAAAAGGTACATCTGTAACAAGTTCAGTCCCCGAATTACCACGACAAGGAACCGATAACATCTTTAGTTTTGAAAATCTCCCAGAAAAACACTGGAAAAAATATATGTACGCATTTAAATTTGTCGAATTGGTCCGAGCGAAAACCCCAAAAGTCACTTATTACACTGACAAAGCCAAGTGTCTCTTAATGGAGAATTTGGTTGATTTTGAAGCTTGTTTTTATGAAGGTGGGAAGGTTACATCATCTTCAAATGAAGGAGTTACAATAATCGATTCTGTAGGAACTAGATTAAATTTTAAAAGTAATGATCAAACTGATTTACCAACATCTTTAAATTTGTTATGGATTCACGCACAAGAAGCTAAAAATCATTGTTGTTTATTGGAACGAACTTTAAATGAATTACCTGGTCAGAAAAACTTCCCAATTATCGTGGGTAGAAGACCAAATTCGAATTTAAATGGAACACCAGGGAAAGAAAATCGAACACAACCACTCATGGTATGATATTGTAAATAATTGTATAATTTAATTATTTTTCATCTTTTAGCCATCATTTAACATGACTTCAATCAATACATCAACTCCAACTTCTGTGAACTGTAAAAACGTTCAATCTAAATCGGTAAGTATTCCTGGAATTGGCACAGCAATTCAATTGGCAAGCGGAGAAGTTAAAGTGCGTTATCCGGACGGGTCTCAAATTTGGGTCGACGGTAAACACAATGTGCAATTTCAATACGCCGATGGAAAATTGGTGAGTTATGGAAATTCTGATAATATTCCGCGACAAATCGTCGAAAAATTACAACACATGCCAATCGTTTTGAGACACTTAATGCCAACGTCTTCAGTTTCACACAAAACTAGATTAAGATAATAAAGGGTAAAAAAATTGATTAGGTTTTAGAGGATGTTATATTGTATAAGTATAGTTTTTTAATAATAATAAAATAGTTTTACAATAATTTATTATAAGGAAATTGTTTCTGAGTTAAGTTTACAATTAAGATTATTTCATAAATAAATATCTAAAATTTATCGTTTAAATAAGCACAGGCATATTATTGCATTAAAAAACAACCTTGCAAATTAACTTACCTCTAAAAGTAAAAAACAATTCCAAAACCAAAATTATGCTACATGGGATAATAGACATAAATATATAGTAAGTCCTAATTTGTTTCCATTTTAAGTCGGTAATTTCTCCTTCAAGAGGCCAAATTGTTAATAACGTTAAAACTTTTATATTAAAAGATAAATATTTGTATGGATTGTTACTCATTTTCAACAAAATATCTGAAAAACCTCTCTATATTCAATTTGAATTCCTTTTTATAGGTAAATCCATTTCAAATTTATTATTTAAAGTGTACTATTAGTGACAAGACCGAAATTGATGGTTTAAATTAAGTATTACTACAAATTAGAGAGAATAGAGAACATAAAAAAGAAAATAATGGAATTCCTTATGACTCCAAGTTGTTTCCATTTTATATTCTTCCTAATCCAATTATTACTGTTATTATTATTTAAAGAAGTCAAAGTTAAAAGAAATGAAAATAATGAATTTCTAATGACATCTTTATTTCCTCTTTTCTTATTCTTATTTCGATTACAAATTGACCCGGTTTGATTCACATAATTTCTAAAAACATAAAGATACTTATTTACATTCAATCTAAAAACTAAAATCAACTAGATAAGTATCTTTTTAACGTGCTGTCCACATTAAAACATAAATAAAATTCGGTTTATTTTGTTTAGGAATCGAGTTTATAAAAACACTGTTTTAATTAAAAGTATCTTTGGATTTAATTAACAGTTCTAAGTGCTTGAAGTAGTGTTAAAAGGTTTAAAGGGCGAAGGAAAAATTTTCTGTTAATCAGTCATTTATAATAATCACCCTTTCTTTTGTTATTTTCTTATTTTAAATACTTTGTTTCTGTTTTAACTGTTTTATTATCACACTGCATGTTGTCTTGGTTTTACCCCAATAATAAAAGGATTCGCTTGAAATGAATTAATTTTCCCATCGTAACTCGGTCCACCGTTAGGTTCTAAAGGAAATTCGTAGTCTGGTATAGAAAACATTTCTTTGATTTGTTCTAAAGTTGGAATTTTTCTAATTTTAACCGCTTCTTTTTGGGTCGGTGGTAAAACGTTTTTGTTTGGTACAAAAAGTTGTTTATCAAAACGGTCTTCGATAATGTTTTCTTCGCTTTTCGGTGGTGGTTGTAAAATCTCGTCTATCGATGAAGGAGTGGTGATTCCTAGTTCTTCTTTTGTGGGAAAAACCGGTGTGGTATTTTTAAAAAGCGATTTAAAATTAACGGGGATGATATCATCTTTTCTTTTTAAAAATGAATCTGTTATTTTTGTTGGTCTTATAAAATTAACTGAATTGATTCTATCAAAAGTAATTGATTTTCCTTGTGGTCTTAAATCGATCCTTTCAATTTTTGCTTGAACTGGAATTGGTCTTTTTGAATCTCTTGGAATTTCCGTGGACCAATGGCTTGGTAAATTATACGATGGTCTATCAGTTACTGTTGATTCTAAATTACTTTCTAATCCAACAATGTTTAAACCACCTAATCTATTCTCTCTCCCTGTTCTATAAACAATGTTATATTCGGAAGCTGTTGGTTGTGATAACAAATCAGGTCTTGGTGTTCTATGATAGGGATGTGATTCTGAGTCTTCTACAAAAGGTTTCTTTTGGCCTATTAATAAATTTGCGGAATAATCATTTTCCGCCGTACTACAATTAACCATGTACCAATGATCGCAAATTAACATTCTCTGTTGAAACAACGTCGTATTTGGGCAGCTGTAACTGAATTGGCGACCTAAACCATCACACATGTGGTAAATCTAAAAACACAAAGAAACTAAAACGGTAAAGATTTATTTGGAAATTTTACTTGACATCCTGAATCAACGTCTGCGTAATACCCCGCCGGCCTTCCATTACAGGTGAACCTTAAGTCAGCTAACACCTAAAACAGATTAAAAAAGAATAAAGGTTCTGCGATGATTTTTAAGGATGGGTTTTAATCGACACGTGTTTAATTTGAATTCCTTTGTTGAAAAGTTGTGTATAAAAACAAGCTTCACCTTTAAATGAGAAAAAGGCGATAATATTAAGTCATTTTCTCGCTTTATAGTGTTGTTATTCAAGATCATCTGTTGGAATTTTAATTGAAAATGCGATTAGTTTTTAATAAATAATTAAATAAAATGATTAAATTCGTTTTTAATTTCATATTGATATCTTCAGAAACAAGATTGAAGTGTTGCAAAAATACAATAACTTGCCGCTAGAAATTCTATTAAATATTTCTAGTTCTAGGTCTAGTGTTAGTTGTGGTTTTATACTAGCACTGTTACTATGTACAACTTAACACTACACCTAGAACTAGAATCATTTGGGTTTAGCCGCACGTCTCTAAAGACGGCTAAACCCAAATGATTCTAATTCTAGGTATAGTGTTAGTTCTAGTTTTATACTTGCACTGTCACTAGAACTAACATTAGACCTAGAACTAGAAACATTTGGGTTTAGTCGCACATCTCTAAAGACGGTTAAACCCGAATGTTTCTAATTTTTGGTCTAGCACTGCATAACAATTAAAACGAGAACTAACACTAAACTTAAAACTAGAAAGTTTCGGGTTTAGCCGTACATCTTCAGACGCACTGCGATTATTTCTACTTTTTAATATTTGTTGTCATTGAAGATCATGTACTGGAATTATTGAATAGTAATATAGTATTGTCACCTACAGCACATAATTCATAATGTCAAGGCAGTCGAGATGTTTTCAACACTTACACGTTTAAAGAAAGATTAAAAACATCTTTAAAAAAAGTAAGACGAGTATCGCTCCGTTTCAATCTCATTTTTCAATCACCAAATGTAAATTAAGACGGAAAACCGATACGATTTTCGAAGAAAAACAATGACCGGATTGGCATTGTTTCAAAATTGACTGTTTTGTTTATGTTCGGTTACGAAAACAACATCTTTTTCGTAACTCCCTTTTTGAAATACGCTTATGCTACATGGTGTGGTCTTAAAGGGTTAAAGGTAACGAATTTAATAACCCGTAAAGTGGTTTAGATAGCGATCTTAAAATAAATATACGTTGTGTAACGGAAATTTGTGCAATGGACCGAAAACGAATGTGAATTGGGAATGTAGGAAGCGACGCATCAAAACTGGGGCAATTCGTCGGTGGTCGAAAGGCGGAAAAGTGTTTTGCAATATAAAAGTGATTGTTGAGTAATTATTAAAACAATAAAAAGTTTGAAGAAAATTGTTTATACTAATAACTAGTAATAATCTGATTTGAAGTTATTTAGAGAAACGATGTGAACAAGTCTAAGGATAGAGAAGAAGAGAGTCTCGTAAAGATGTCCTTGTGTCCTTTTGTGTAAAGAATCGTGACTGACCCACCCAAGAACGGATTCTCTCTCCTTAACAATGCGGTTCAATTACGCATTGAGAACGCTTCAATTCGATTTTTTCTGGTCTAATTTAAGTACTTTGTGTTTAAACGAATTAAATTTCGCAAAAACTAATTTTGTATAATTGAATAGGTCTTTGAACGTCCTCTTTCTTTGGTTTAAATGTTGTCGTTTTCTTCTCAGGGTATCAGGGAAGCGATTTCAGCAACAAAGGACTTAAAGCTTAAAAAGTGTAATTTTCTGTTACATCAGTGACAATTTTCTTTTGTGTTTGTATTTTTCACAGTGAATTTTCTTAGTTACGTGACTTAAATTGCAAAAAAGATACCTAGAAACTCACCGTGAATGTATGTAGGAAGTTTTTATTATTTCTAACGGTTAAATTATATATTAAATTAACATTCCTATTTTACAATTAACACTATTATATTTTTACGACGACTTTATTATTATTTTATTCCTGGAATTTAATTAAATCTTTTTCAATCCAGTAAATACTTCGATAAGTCTGAAGAGTTCAAGTTCAATGTTAAAACAATTATATCATTGAATACAATGCCAAGGATGTATTAAAATAAAACGATTTCTAATAAATCTATTTTAAGAATTAATAAACTCTAACGTATACTTTGCGGTTATCAAGAAAACTCAACGTTATTTTAATTAATTTGAATCAACTACAAAGAAACCAACCAACAATTAACCATAATTTGACCAATTATTTGCAAGATACTCAGAATAACAACTTTTTTCTTTAAGGATAACAAGGTGATCTTCCTATACCAGTTGTTCAAGCTTAATTAAAGCATTTAAAAATGTCCTTGCGTGTGTCATTTTTACAACAAAGAATAAATTGATCTAAAAATGAAACATAAGCATTATACAACGACCCACAACTTCTTGCATATAATTTTTTCGCAACAAATCGTCAAAATAAGCAGTTTTAGTGGGTGTTACTTCGACCCACGAAGCATGCTTAAAGCAATAAAACGTACAAAAGAGGTTAATCGATTCAAAATAGCTATTTACCACGGTTACATAAAGTTTCGAACGTGACCCAATGTCGAAAAAGCAAAAAAAGATTAAACGCGTTGAGAAGCTCTAATAAGTTTGTTGACGTTACGTAACGGTTTATTAAAGAAACCTTCACCTCTGCATTAACAATGACAAGAATTGTCGTCGAGGAAAAAGGGAAAAGAAAAGAAGAGGTTTGACATTTCTACTAAGAGAAGAAGAAGCGTTTGTATTTTTTTTTCTTGTCATGGGGACGTTTAATAGGCCCCCAAGTGGCACGCAATTAGTCGCGTGGGTCGCTGATGAGAGACTTGTAAGCTGCAATTATTCCGTCTACTGTTAAGAAATCAGCCCGACGACGATTTCTTCGAGAAAGAAATGTGGAAATAATTTGTTTTTATGATTGTGAATGGAATAAACATAAACTATATAGGTTAACGTTTATGACTTATTAAAGAAAAGTTTCTTGGGAAAATCCGGTTAGATTTTATCTCTTTTATTATACATGCAAACGATTTTAATTGAAGATAATGAATAACAACAAGACTAAACCATAAGGTCGTACTGCAAAATATAATAACTTGAATTGAGTTTATTGACTTTAAACATTTTCAATAAATTATATTTAAAATATTTTTAAAAAGCGAACATTTACTGCCATTTAAATACTTTCATTACCACATCCAAATTATACATGATGAGCTCGTGACGCACAATTTATGCATATGGGGCGAAAGTGTTAAAATTTAGAGTGTTATCAATATAATTACAGACTTTATCTTGCAGATCAGAATATTTACAATGCAATTTCAGACATTTTCTTACATATGGCAGATATTTTCATGTTATTTAGTATCTGAGGAAATCATTTCTGATATGTTGTCAAAGTTTCAAGTTTCGACAAACTTATAAAGTCTTGCCAGCATAATTTCAAATTTCTTGTAGTAGTTCAAAATTGTGTCATTGCAATTTTAGACTTCTTATTGCAGATTGAATATAGGCCAGCGTAATTCCTAATATTTAAGTTTCCAGTCAGAATAATTCCTAGTATATTTTGCTTAATGTCTGTAGTTTCTAGAATCTGGCAGAATAATTCCTGACAATTCATTAAAGTCTTACCAATATCAATCCAGACATTTTCTACGTTTTGAGCCATCTGGATGATACTTGTCAGTGATTAGGATATGGAACTCTATCTCAATCTATAGTTGCAATATATTTCAGATACTACAGGAATATAAATATGAAAATTACTACCCAGCTCTATCATCATTATCCATATAAAATATAAAATTGTTACGTTTATTGATTGATAGTTGAAAAACGTTTACAGTTTCTTCGAACATTGAGTAATATATGATCACAACGTCGTATTTCAAAACTATACAAACCACAATTTATTTACAACCAACGGCTAAAAAGCAATTAACTCGGAACCTATAATATCCACTTATACAGTGAACGCGATATTTCGCGCTTAATGCAATGTTATTGAACTCTAAAATTATCGAAAATTATCTAAGCAAAATCCCGTGAAAACCGTTCAATATAAACCGAGAGTAAAGAATTTCGATTTCGCAAGATACGATAAAGAATGTCATAACATTAAATGTCAATGTTAAAAAGGTTTATATCGGTTTTGTGTTTTCATTTAAAATTTAATCTCTTTTAATTTATTTTAATTTGTCATAATTTTTGTTTTAAATTAATCAATTTGGAATCAACACCTGTCTTGTTTACAAAAACTTGGTCGCACTCCTCAGCACGTTTTTGCTCTTTAACTCTAACTAAGTTCTTCTTCCGATTTCGCAATTTTTAAAGTCAAACGGTTGCAATTTAGTTTAATTTAAGGATTTTTATTTCAATTTTATTTTCTTACCTCACTCTTTAAACCGACGATGAATGAAAACAACACTAAACTAATCGAGTGTATCAAAAAATTCTTTGTCATTTTCTTTTTATTTAACACTTTTGTTTATTTTCAATTAAATGCGTTTCATCGATGAAAAGATCGCGAAACGACCACCAACAATCTCTCTCTATTTTCCGTTTATAGTAAAGCCGGGTCTAAACCTCTCTTTGCAAATAGCTGCGGGTGACTGCGGACATCTCAGTGGGCTTTCGATAGTAAAAGAGATCTCATTGACGGGGTCAAAAGGGCAACGGAGGCCGATTCCCACCTTTAATATACCAATGTCAACTATTTTTTATCTTAACTCGCTATGTCACAATACATAATTTAATTAATTATTATTAAATTTTAATTTTTTGATTCGTTTATATGGATGAAAAGTTTCTCAACCCTCACTGAAATAAAGAAAAAAATCACATAAGTCGGTGATCTTATCGTTAAAGTATCGATAAATTATATTCAGAAACGCAACGATAACCTTTAACATGTTGAAAGAGGTGGAGGTCCTTGTATTGTCTTTCAGTCGATATATTCAATCCAAATCACTTTGTGTTAAGTGTTTTTGAGAAAATTTCGAAAAAACAACTTACATAATTAAAATGGATTATGTAATAATTTGAAGGATTTTATTTTACAGAATCGTTTCACGATCTCGCATAACTACGAAAATTTATAGAGCATGAAATTCTCTCCTATCAATTAAACGATCATTTTAGAATTACGGTGTAATAGAAAATCGACAATAATAATTAAAGTTTGTCTTACCACCTGTAGAGTTAACAAATAGAATTAACTGACATCTGTTTATTGATGTTAAAGTCCTTGGTTATTTAGTTTTAGTAATCCTTGGTACTTTCTCGTACATAAATGTATTTCCAAAGTTAATTTATGGGCTAGATATTAAAGAGTGAAAGTTTGCACTTCATCAAATTATGTTATAGTCACGTGGTTTGAATTTCTTATGCTGCAAAATCAAGAGGGGCATGAAAATATATGAGATGGTTGAAGAGAGAGAGGAGAGAGATCTTGGAATCCATGGAAACCGATAATAGAACTGGACATGAAGTGGTCTTATCCCACTTATGATCAAATTTGACAAGAGATACATCGGACACCAAGGAGATGGAAACGTTTCTAGAAGACTTATCTAAAGCAATAAAAGCAGAGGAAGCCAAAGCGACCCAGGAAATATCGGAAATTTTGATCTTATTGCTAGGAACTAACGTGGAAAAAACTGTCTAAACAAGGAAAAGCTGTATTTCCAGAACGAATAGAAAAGGAAAGGGAACCGAAAACAACACACCTCTACACCTGGCATTGACTTTCAGTGTCCTCTTGAAACATACGCAAACACCATACTTCAAGTCGAAATAAATGAAGATCTAGTAACCAATAAAAATCAAGTTTTAATCTGTTTCACTCGCATTGATCTGTGATGTCGGAGTTCTTAATTTTTCCTGAAAACTCAAATAATTAGATAAAAAGCTATTTTTCAGTATTTTTTAAACAATTAAAATTGAGACATCTATGTACAACTTCTAAATGTCAATATTGGTCACGAACTGCTTGTTACACTTAGCGTATAGCTCACTTTATTTCGAAACTTTAAACCTTGGTACTTTACCATTCGCAAGAAATATACCCACATGTTACTCTGACTTTAAAAAACTGTTCTTAAATCATCTTTAATGAAGACATTCGAAATAGTTTTTAACAAATGCTTAGCATGTACTTTGTTGGAGATAAAAAATGATCTCATCAATCATTATTACATGATAAATCGAGTGTAAAATTGGCACCTCACGAAGTTTAGGTATAATAATCTTTTAGAAAGTTATATAACTGAGAAGTGAGTTTAAAAGTGCACAATGCTGTCATTGTACGGCGAAAAATAGATTATCTTTAAAAATTATAACCGTAAACTTTCACTCTAATGGGGGACGACTTCGTTTTTGAAATGCAAAACGTGAAAGAAATCACATAGTAAATGCTAAACGAAGAATCGTTATTAATGATTTGTTTGTTTCTTAGTAACGTCTTCTTTTATTAACAGAGAATAATTTGTCGTTTAGTTTAATGATAAACGTCGAGAAAATTGATCGGTTTTCTAGATTCCAAAGACAATACGTCCTCCGTGATTAACGAGGTTTCATTCAAGTAAAAATGTTTTCTTGCGAGCAAATTATAACTGACATTTCAAGTGAGCGACTTCCTTTTTCGCAATAGACGTTAATTTTTGAGCCTGAAGGTCGATTAGATTTTAATTTATACCATACAAAAAGTGAATTATGACCTAAAAAGTCATTCAAATGTTGTCCACTTTAAGTCAACTTTTCTTAAATTAATATTTAATTATTAATTTGACCTTAATGGTGTCAATCGTGTATTGACAAAAAATCTTTTTGAAACAGCATCACATGATTAATAAGTTCAAATCGTGAGTACACTCCCTTAAAATTACAATGAAGAACGATTATCTTAACAATAAAGTATCCGGGCATCGTTTTTATTATGTAAAGCAGGAGATTCTTCGTCCTTGACATTATTTTGGATGGAATTCAAGGAGTAAATGGTCGTGAAAAGCTATCTTGTTTTTTAATTATTTAAATATTCTCTTTTCACATAACACTTTCCTCAAGATTAGAAGAAATCCACCGTTTTATGAGTTGCAAGGAAAGATTCTTCTATTAATGGAAATTAATTCGAGACTCTTCTTAAAGTGTTAAAGTACTGAACCTAACAATTTTTTCAAACCTATAGTTCTGCCTCAAGTTTAAGAAAACTTTACATGACACTACAATATCTGTTGTTACGAGATCTACAATAAAAACCAAGAAATATTTGATTACGCAGACACCATACCCTGGTTGTCCAAGGAACAAGTTTGGAGATCCAGATCTAAGGTCTAAATAGATGCAAAAAAATCAACTTATCTCTTTTTCCACAATCCTAATGTTGGTATAGGTCAGGTCCATATTTAGCTTCTACTGATCTGGGACATCATACATCATCATTTTATGAGTACTCAAAAAAATTCGATGGTAAAAACAAATCTTCGTCGTCGAAATCGTTAATAAAATAAAATTTATTTCGAACTCATCTCAAAAATTTGCGTTTATATATGCAACCAAATCAACAATAAATTTAAAAATAGGAACCTTTAATTTATTTTAATTTTTCAAACCTACACTGATAAAATATCCAGATCAAACCAGATAAAAATCAGTCACCTGTCATAAGTCAGTGTAAATTTACAAGTAAATACACCATCAGTCGTTTCATTTATTTATCCAATTTATAAAAAAAAATATATTGAAAAACAATGGCTTTACGTTGGGGAATTGCCAGTGCAGGAAGAATTTCGCATGATTTCGTAGCGGCTTTAAAAACTTTACCTGCAGATGAACACGAAGTTGTTGCAGTCGCGGCTAGAAATCACGAAAATTCATTGGAATTTGCTAAAACGCATGGGATTCAAAAAGCGTATGAAGGTTATTTAGATCTTGCTACTGACGTTTCAGTTGGTAAGTTAAATTAAAATAACTTCAATTGCATATATTTACTTTATTAATTTATTTTGAGATGTCGTTTACATCGGTACAATAAACACCCAACATTTATATTTAACAAAGCTAATGTTGGAACATGGTAAACATGTTTTGTGCGAAAAACCATTAACAATAAATTCGACACAAACGAAAGAACTAATTGAGTACGCAAAGAGCAAAAATTTATTTTTAATGGAAGCAATTTGGTCAAGATGTTTCCCAGTTTACAAAGAATTAACCCATCAATTAAAAATGGGAACAATCGGAGATGTTCTTTACGTTAACGTAACATTTGGTGTACCGATCGATAAAGTACCAAGAGTTAGTTTAAAAAAAATGGGTGGCGGAGGAATCCTCGACATCGGAATTTACACCCTACAATTCGTCCAGTACATTTACCGCGGCGTGAAACCTTTAAAAGTATGCGCAACGGGACATTTAAATTCCCAAGAAGTTGATGAAATGGCCAACGGACTACTTTTATATCCAGATGGAAAAAGCGCGGTTGTTAGCTGTTGCACAAAAACTTTATATCCAAATGAAGCGGTTGTTGTTGGAACTAAAGGACAAATAGTGATCCCAACCTTTTGGTGTCCGTCAAAATTGATTACGCCCGAAAAAACGTTTGAATATGAAATTCCCAAACCCGGAGTTCAATTAAATTTTCAAAACAGCGGTGGATTGGCTTATGAAGCCGACGAAGTGCGAAGATGCATCAAAGCAGGATTAATAGAAAGCCCAATGTTGCCTCACAGCGAAAGCATTGAATTAAGTGAGATGATGGATTCGTTTAGAAACGATCTTGGAGTTATTTATCCGGAAGATATTTAAGAAAAATTATATGAATTGGAAATTTATCATTTTTTTATTATAAAAAAATTATTCAAATATATTATCAGCCAAATTATTGTTTATGTTTATTAAAAGTATAAAAAAAGTACATTAAACATTTGCAACTGCTTGAAATGCTAAAAAATCGTTTGATAGATCCTTCAATTTCACACATTCAGCAGCGGGTATAAACAAACTGCTTCCAGATATTAAATGCATCTTGTTCAATTTAGCAGATCCAGAAATCACTAAGAATATGCTGGCGGTTTCTCTTGGAATTAATTCAAATTCAGACATTTTTTGCTTGATCTAAAAATAGCAAATATATCATAAACAATAACAATAAAAATCATTAAATTTCTAACATCTATTTTAACAATAGCGAAATCTTCAACAGGGGGTTTAAAAATATGAATGTATTCATTCTCAATTTGTGGCAGAAATAATTTACTATGAGCGCTTTCCGCATCGTAATTTAATATCGCACAAAGCGTTTCAACATCTTTAAATTTTGGGGTTAAACCGGCACGGACTACGTTATCCGAACAAGCCATACATTCAACACAATCTGTAAATTAAATTTAATACATTAATATAAATTTAAAATAAATTTATTTTAAGACAAAACCTCCTGATAAATATGCATGTGGGATATTAGCAGCTAAAAACACAGCTTGCATAGGATTCAATGATAAATAATTGAGGAAAAAAACAGCGAAACATCCAACATCTTCCGGAAATTGACTATTGAGTCTTTCAACAAGACCACAAAGTTGCAACTCTCTCTCCCTAACATCTTAAATACAATGAATTAAATTAATTTACTAATTATTTTGGTTAATACCTAAATCTTTAGATCGACTCAAAAAGTTATTTAATAATCGCGAAATAACTTCTTGCGGTTTGGTCATCATGGAACAAAAACAATTTTTTAAGGCACTTTTTGATACATCCTCTGAACTATTTATAAATATTTCGCAAAGATCCGCTCCGATCAAATCTCCTAATTCAGGAATAACTAAAATAACAATTTAATCAATTAAATAATTTTATTATACAGTGTGTTAATTAATTATCCTACCCGACGTCATCATTGCAGGTATGCAACCAATATCACAGTATTGGTATTGCAATTACACGCGATTTGCTTGTACTGTGATATTGGTTGCATACTTGCAATGATGACGTGATAAAAAAAGAAAATTACCTTTAAAAAACTTTTTAATCTCATTATAAGGTCTAAAACCACATAAAGCTTCAAATGGTGTTAAAGCAACTGCAATTTCAGGTTTATGATTATTATCTTTATAAACATCAGGAAATTTTGAATGTAGTTGTTTAGCCATTTCCTTTTAAACAAAGTAGAATTATTTTAAAATTAATTTTAATAAAAAATAGATTAAATTAAATACTTTATCTGGATGAACTTGAATAGATAGTGCTTTTTCTATTGACAATATTTTAAACAAAAATGGCAACTTTTCTTTTCCAAAAACACTCTTAATTTTTTCACCCAAATATTCCGGTTTTTCTTTAAGTAATTCCAAAAGATTCTTCCCTTCATTTTTAATATCTGACGGAGCTTTTACGTTCGCCCCAAACCATAATTCAGCATACGGAGTTCCATTTTCAATTTCAAAATCTTTATGTACATTTTTATAAAGCTCAGCAACCATACTTTGATGACCCTTTTTTCCCCAATCATATTTTTGAACTTTTCCACTTAATTCCAAGACGGTGTTATTCCTGTTTATAAAAAAATTGTTAAACAACGAGATTTAGGAAAATAAATAAATCATTAAACATACTTTTTGGGATGTATTTTTAGGTATTTTGAATACCACATGGTTAATATAAACAACTTTTTGGATTTAGAAGGAAATTTAAAAGGGACGGTGTTCATTAATGAAGCGATTACTTACATTTTTTAAAAACAATCTTAAATTAGAAAAAAAACGATTTGTTTTACTTCAAAAACTTGCTAATTTAGATGATGTTTTTTGATAAAAATTTTAAACGTCAACGTTTTAGGAGTTATCAGCTGATTATGACATTTTGGCAAGTTTCCTTTTAACTTTCAACCAGAAAACGGTTTATAGATGGTGAAAGGATCATTTTAACGTACCCAGTGAGTTGTATACTTTCGGTATCCATTATAAGGTGGCGCTTTTAAAAATCTTACAGTTCAAAGTATTTAAATTTTATTCTAGAATGAAATATATACTTTTTGATTTTTTAATCATTACGTTGACAATAACTTGCTATATATTCTAGATATTAGACACACTCTAAGTTTTAATTGTTGATTCCAGTATTTAGAAGTTGATTCCAGTATTTAGAAGTTCATTCCAGTATCTAGGGTAAGATTATAGAGTTTAGGATGACTCAAAAACTGTTTATTCAACAACCTTTACGCAAAGATCGTAATTTTTTATCTTTTGCTATAACCAATACATTATTTATTTATTTTCTCACTTCACAGTCTTTGAAGTTGATTAAAACTAGTTATTATTTTCTTGTTTAGAGAGTGAAAAAACTGAAACCATCTGGCTTATTGTTTGCACGTGGAGCTTTTTTTGTTGGAAACACGTACGTATACGCGTGCTGGCAACAAAATTTCGGTCAGTATCAACCGTTCCAAAAGTAGGGGAACGAACGATTTGGCAGCTGAGGTCATCGACCTCCGTTAAAATTCAAGTTCAAAGACCAACGGTACGACTCCACACACACAAACTCAAACTCAAACGCGTGTGTTAAATGAAAACGAAAAAAGTGGCTATTTTTAAATATTTCGAATTTTTAGCTTTAAAATTAAATCATCTTTTATTTTTAGGCGTTTCTTTCTGATAATATAAAACTTAATCTCGCTGAATTAAGTAAGGTTTAGGTGTTTTTATTTAAAAAAGATTGATTGTTTTATAAACAAATTGGTACGCGTGCCAAATAAGATAACTTATTGGACAACAACGACGGCGTAACCGGACACTTATCCGTTTATTCCACCCGCTCCGTTGGAAAACAGACAGATAAAGTCCCGAGATAAAGCCCGAACATGGAAAAGAAAAAAAAATAACGACGCAAGTTCAATGGCAGTGCGTATCGTATAAAAATAACTTGGGTTATTATCAGATTTTTGCTTGGCTTCGTTTACACTTTTAATACATACATACAGAACAGGATCGGACTTTTTTCCACTCTTAAATCGAGTAAAATTAAATGAAATCAAGTCTGAAGAAATTTTAAAAGATAAGTCCGGTTCTGCGTTATGTAAATTCTTTCTTAATCACCCTCAAGTGCCACCTCCACTCAGTCGAGAGTAATTCGCCAATTAAACTCGGTTAATTAATTTGGTGTGACACACGGGTGGCCAAATTAACAGGCAGAAACGAATTTATTCGCTTCGTTTGGGAAGATTAAAAATGACAACTAAGAAAAATTATATTTGATAAAGATCTTATTTTAACACCGAGATATAAACACTTTATTCATTCCATTCTAAGACGAATCCATTTCCATTTCATCATGACGAAAAGATATTGAACCAGTGTCCAGTCAATTATATGTTAATGTCTAAATGACAACTCCACATAACTAACAGTCGTCCCAAGGAAATGATGCTAATAAAATTTGTGGGCCAATCACCCACGTGACGTAAATGATTTAGAGAAATAACAGAAATGTTAGAGGAGATGGAGAAATATAAGATGCAAATACTAGTTGAGATACATAGATAGGTCCTCCAGTAAGAGAGCGACAAATAGATCATCACAAGCCGAGATATCTATAAACTCCAGATATGTACATGATTAATATGGAACAATGGGGAAACACGGTGGAGAAGAGATACTGAAGACGAAGCAAGAATCAAAAAGGATGAGAAAAACTAGAAACAGTTCTGATAAAACCGGCAGGTGTAGTATTTACCGAGTCTTTCCTCTGTTTGCGTGGTTTGGTGACTCGTTGGATATTGCTCATTGTATAGCCGTTCTTCCGCAGTATATATTGTAGGTAATCTTCTTTCTTTAGGTTTTCTTTATCAGATATCCCGTCTGCTCGCTGGAATAAGGTTTGAATCACGGACCTCTTCTGTTGTGGGTGGTGATGGGATGAAGTCTGCAGGTATCTATTCTGTCTTCATAATTTGTCTTCCTAGTGATCAACATATCGAAGAATAGTAACTGTTTTGCAGTAACTGTAAATTTTATCATGGGGAGTGTTGCCAGATCACGAAAGTGTCATCGACGTAACGTAGCCGTTATAATAATAATAATAATTTATTTAATCACCTGGCTACACATAGTAGATGTGACAAGTTCAAACCACATACAATATATAATACACAACATACACAATATTCAACAAAGAAAGAGAGAAATTAAATTATGAAGTATGACCTATGCTAGTTGACTAGGACTAATAGTCATTTTTAATTGCAGATGGCAAATTATTATAGAGCTTTGGGAAATCATACCGTGGACTCTTTTCAAAGAAAGCCGTCTTATGATGACCCAAGCACACCAAACTATCAGATCTAGTTTCGTAATTGTGTTTCATGACAGGGTATCTATCGACATGCTCCCGCACATGAACAACTGATTTATATATATATATACTTTGGAGAGTAAGAAGCGAATTGGCCTTGAATGTATCTCTACACGAATCTCTGCAGTTTAGGTCGAAGATTAATCTTATAATGCGCTTCTGTGCTACAAAGGCACGCCGCCACTCCGTCGATCTTCCCCACAATAATATATTGTATGAGAGATGCGAATAACAGAGAGGATAATACGCATCTAATAATCCCGATAGCGGGAGGCATCCCTTCAACTTCAGAATTGCATAAAAGGACGAGTTCAATTTCGAAACCAGATGATCAACATGTTTGTCAAAACTTAGCTGCTCGTTTAGATAAACACCCAAAAATTTGCAGCTATTTGATGGAATGATATCATCGGCTTGCGGAAGCCTTCTCCTCTTATGAAAATTTACAAACACGGTCTTTTTTAGATTAAGAACAATACGATTTTGTTTGCACCAAGTATCAAATGATTCAACGGTATAGGAGATGGTTTCTAATTTTTGAATATTAAGATGCTCATTTTATATGTCAGGCATAAAAAGAGCTTTTACAAGCAGTCTTGAAGATCTGGGGAGTGCAAGTGCTAAGATGATGATGACTTGCACAAACACTAACTTTTAACTCATTTGATGACTTTGTCACTTGATTGAAGTTTTTATGACTTCTGTACCAAGAACTTGTTCCATTGACAAAATTTTTAGCACATCAAGGAATTGGCTCAGATGACCATCAACTAAGTGAGATGATCAATTTGATTGTAAATAAGTGATAAATGTTATTTTCAAAATGAAAAAAAATTTAATTGAAATCATCTGATGACAGATATGTTTGTTTCAGTTTAGAAAGACGTTCTCGCGCGATGTATACCGAGGGTTAGCACGGCCGCGTCGAGTCGCTATCGACTTCCTAACATGCGCCGTTGCGTTGTGACGTCACCAAACACGTACAGGTCTCTGAACTCGGCCGACAAAAAATCTATATTAATACCATCGCTGCTGATACGGCCTTATCGGTTAACGTTACCGGTTACAAGCCTCGAGGGCTCAATTCCTTCTACAGAGAACTTAAAAATGATGTTTTATCAATAATCATAGCAAATCAAAAACGATACTATTATTAAAGACATAATCGAATAAGATGTTATTGATAAATGATGAATGTATTGTTGTGATGTTGAGAAAAAGTTAAAGGTTGGTTCACATATGATGGGTGAGGCATCGATCACAGTTTGTTTCAGATGAGGCGAATAGCGGAAACAAGATGCAAGAGAACGATCCCGTTCCCCACCACAGCGCCACCGTAGCGCGGTCATTCAACTCCGGCGGCCGCCGCAAGCGGCAGCACAACACACGCTCCGAGCACGCTGTGTTTTCCGCGGCGGACCATTTAACTCGACGTCGCGACGCGCGACCACCCGAAAAACCTAACAACGACGACGGCTACGTAAAACGCGTTTTCCGCGAGATTTTCCGAGTGTCTCTGTGTGATAACGATGGATTTCCAGTGGATTTTCCTTCAGTGATTTCTCGAGGATACGACACAAAAAAAGCTTTTCGCGTTTCCCTCGCTTCTCAGTGTTTTTATTTCTTTCCTCATTTTTATTAATTATTATTATTATTAATTAATTAAATTATAATTATTACTTATAATCATTATTTCTTTTCATCATTATCACTAAAAATTTAATTTCGGAAGACATAAGATTTTTTCAGCAAATTTAAAGATCTTATCTCTTCCAAAAACTAATTCCTCTTCCAGTTACCCATCGTGTAATACTAAAAAAAAACCCTTTCAATTTCCTTTCTTAATTACATAACAGGATTGAAATCGAAAAGGAAAACAAGAAACTAACAGACTCTTCATCTTCTTCTTTTTCTTCAGTGAAGTTTTTCACGTGCTACTTCGGGATTTCGTTCGTAAACATCTATGTAAAATGTAAGTAACCATTATTAATAATCATTAAAATAAATAATTCCATTATCACTACTGACCCAGTTTACTACTCACCACGATAGTGATCCGTTTCGTGTTTCTACAACTACTCACTTCTCGCCCTCACGGACACGTGCCGAATTCATTTTCACGCATTCGTACACTTGATTTTGGCATTGGCCAAATCCATCTTATCTTATTAAAGGTGAATGTTAAAAACTCCTTGAAAATAATAAATAAATAACGTAGAGATTAAAATTAATTAAATTTTTTCATAGAAATTAGATGACTGAATTTTATTTCCAGTTAAATTTAACGTGGAAATTGTGATTCAAAACGTGTTGTTGAAAAGAATTATGTCGTAATTATGGTTTCTTGGAATTAATTTAATTGCAGTTTTTTTACCCTTATATGATTGAAACGGTAATCGAATTTATAACCAAAACAACTTTTAAACTTTTATGATTAAGTACCTCATTCTGCAAAGTGATTTTAAGGAACTGAATTTATATTCAATTATGCACCCATATCAAATACTTACATCTTTTTGCA